TCCGTTGAAACTCCAAGTTTTTGCTTTCCGATCGTCATTTTCGAATGATATGACATAGCAAACCCCTGGGCATCTTTCCCCACTCTCCCCTAAAGGCAATTTGCTCGGATGATTCTTGCCCCAGCCGGGAACTAAGCTCCTCACAATTGGCGGCTTGCGGCAGGGCAGTCAGTGTGCACATGTCTCCCCAATATTGTTGTGTGTGGCCCTCAGAATGTCAGCCCCAACCGACCTGACCTGACCTGACCTAACTCAACCCGACCCGATCCGACACATCCGGATCCGACCCGATCCGACCCGATCCGACACGTTTGGACACGACCCGACCCGGCCTGACCCGACCTGACCCAGTTGGACTCCGGCGCCGTGCACGCGCTGCCCTCCGCCCGTGGACCGGATGTGTGACGTGACACACGCTCTGAGTCACCCCTCTCGTGACCGCGGCACCTCCTCCAACTAACGGAGCCTCCGCCAGCGATCGCCCACGCAACCGCTCATCCGAATTGTACGTAATCGCTCAAATTACGGACCGGCACGGCCGTGCGGCCGCTGGACCGCTCTCATCCGCCCTGAGCCGCGCTCCGGGAGCCATGTGTCATCGGGGCGTTTGGTCGTCTCATTACGGCAGCCTTGGACTCATCTGCAGCGTCGTTAGGCTAGCCCCGCGGCCGCTGGGCCCGCCGAGAGTCAAATATACAACGCCGTTTGAATGTGGTGGCCTGCGACGTGCTCTGGCTGTGATGGCTGGGACGGCGCTGCTCTGACCCAGGCCGAGCGGTTGCGAGACTCGCTGGGCGGCGGAACCAGCGACCTCGGGCCGGGCGGTGAGGCTGTCCGGAACGGCTGCGGGTGCCGGAACAGGTGACCTCAGACCGACTCGGTGTCTCGGTGCCGCCGACCCGTCCGTGTCGCCCGCTTTCACTGACCGGGCACGACCGGCCGGTCCGCCCCGGGCGCCCGACCGGAAACGTGGGATTACAGCCGGAACGGGCTCGCGGTCTCCAGACTCGGTCGTTCGTACTTGTTGCCTCGCGTAGATGAGATGTGGATAGGTTTGGCTCACATGAGGTGACCTCGGCAGTCGGCAGATATGAATGGCTTGGTCTGGGACGGTGGACTGGTTGGGACGACTGCACTGGGTCGGTCTGGTTTGGTTTGGTCTGGTCTGGTCTGGTCTGGTCTGGTCTGGTTAGATGAGCATTGTAAGACCTGACCTAGCCTTGGGCCCCATCACCTCACGGAACAACATTGATGCTGGTGGGTTTGATCGCGTAGCCGGGCTTCCTAGACGCTTGCAAGCCGTCACTGGCGTACGTGTTGTACCGGACGGAATTCCTCGGTCCGTAAAATTCCAGTAACGGGCTCTGTACAAAGGTGGTGCGGTGCGCGGGCTTGCGTGTGAGACACCGACTCCTGTAGGCTCCGGCCGACACGTGGAAAAGTCCGCCGCGTCACGGGACACGGACGGACGGACGGACGGACGGGTATCGGACGGCCAAACAATGGCGCTGGCCGGCCCGTGCCGGCGGCCAGACGTGCCCCGGCGCCCGCCGGAGCGGCGAGTAACACCGCAGCCTCGTGCTTTATGGGCCGGGAGGAGGTATTGGCGCTCACGTGGGCCAGGGGCACGCGCCGAGCTTCCCAGCAGCGGGGGCGGAACTCGGCGAACTCTGCCCCGCTGAACTCCGACTTGCAGTGCTTTCTGGGATGATGGTCGCTGCCCCGTCGCAGATGGACGCTTCACTGTCGCGGGGGCTCTCCCCTCTAGCTGGACTGTCCGCTGACCGCACTGCTTCCCAATGACGTCATCCCGCTCAGGGAGCCGGTCACCGGTGACGTCACACGGCGGATGTCCGGCCGGCCGGCCTCTCCTCTCCTCTCCTCCCCGCTCTCCCTTTCCTCTGTGTCTGCGCGTGACGTCAGCGTCTGCACGCGCCCGGTCCGGTCGCAGCGGTACTGCAGTGGAGACAAGTGGCCCGGCGGGCGCACCGTTCACTGATGAATGACTCACAGCCGGCCGGACTGGCTACACCAGCGGGGACCGTTCGCAAACCAACTGAGACGGTACGGTGCACACGGACCAACTGGAACCGAACACGGGCCAACTGAGACGGTATGGTGCACACGGACCAGCTGGGACCGAACACGGGCCTAGTGCGACCGACGGCACCCCGACCAACTGAGACAGTACACGGCCCAGCTGACTGAACGCTGAGCTGCACCGAAGCCTATAGACAACGGTAGAGTATAGTGTCTGACAGAGATGTGAGGACTCGGTTCGGTGCCGCGCGGACTCGGACCGTGTCGGCTTTGTATCGGCGCTCTGTCTGACCGACTTCGGGCGGCCCTGGCGAGGTTGCAGAAAAACCGCTCGGCCGCACTTTCCTGGTGATGCAAGTGCAACGGAATCACGTGGTGAAACTGAATATTGGTTTTGCTCGCCGCTGCAGTGATAAGGTGAAATCCTTTTTGCTGAGTCGCTCATATTGACTCACTAGACTCTAAAATGGAACACCAGCTGCAGTGTCTATGTCTGGCACAGTTTCACACCGTTGTATTCGTCAGTCGGTCCAGCCGACCGCCCATGCATGTCTTGGTTCTCGAGGGCTGACCTCCAGCAGTCCCTTGTGGTGACTCAGCCAGACGCAGCTGCCCTGCCATCGGCGCTAATCGCGTGGATCGGCAGCCGTCCAATGTCGGCCCTCTTCGGCTGGCAGCTGCGGCAGCTGTCCAGTGCCGGCTATCCCCGTCCCGGCGGCTGCGGCAGCTGTCTGAGGAACTTCTCGCCCCCTAGCGCCGCTGTAGGTGCCCATACTCGGCAGGCAGCTGGTCGGATCGACCGGCCCCCTCGGCCACATTTGCTCCTACACGGCAGTGGCAACTGAGGGGAGCCGATGACAGGCTCGGCCGGGTGACACTGCAGCCTCACAGGGGAACACCGAGCGGGTGACGCTGCAGCCCTGTGACTGTCTGACCAGTGACTGGATGACGCCACAGCCCTCGCCGTCTGACCAGTGACCGGGCGGCGTGCCGTGGCGACCCCGCCGCCGTCCCTGGCCGGCCGTACCGTCGGCCGGTGACTCACTCCCCACCAGTCGGCCTTTTCCGGGACGGAGCCGCCGCCGCACCGACCGGTCGTAGTCACGGAGCGCGCCGAGCCACTCAGCTGTGGAGCGGGCCGGACGAACGGTACAGTGATGGACAGACGACCCCGGCCGGCTCCCACCGCGACCGGTCACTAGTCACGGCCGCCGTGACAGTCCGTGACGCCGTGACGGCTCCCACGGCGGCGCCGCCCGCTCCCAGGGGACCGACGGTGTAACGGTGCGCCGCCGCCGTGACCGGGCTCGGCGCGCGCGAGGTGTGTGGGAGGGTCGCCGGACGACGGACACGTGCCTCAACGCGGCACTGCGGGGGAGACGTACTGGTGGGGGTGGAGGGGTGACCGCCGAGAGGTCAGAGACTAAGGACCGATCACTGGCGAGCGGTTGATGAGAACAGCTCTCATTGACATCGTCACATCACCGCTGGTTGTATATGCTTCGTGGCCTGGGTCGCATAGGCATGGTCGCATAGTTTGGTTGGATATTCTATAAAGAGTGCGAGTCGTTCGAGGTAATGTAAATCAAACTTTTAGACGGCGGTCAGTCGTTTGGACGCCGTTAGGAGGTTGCTGAACTGTCGTGAGGTCGTGCGTTCGGCTCATTTGGTTACATAGATCCCTGATTGACTCCCTTCTTCTATCCCAGTCCTGTGCTTCTTGCTGCTCTCCGCCGCGTTTTCTCAGCGCCATGTTGGTGCCGTACTGCTGTCGTATTGGTGCTGATGCCAGTGCCGATGTTTGTTCCGCGCTGTACCGGTGCCAGTGCCGGCGCTCTGTGCCGACCGTCGGGGGCTGGCCGCCGTCCAGCGGCCGGGGCGGAAAGTTCCCGTGCCGTGCTCAGCTGGACGTCGGCCCGGTTCGTTCGTGAGGCCGGCCGCCGAGCCTGGGTCGCCGGCCGTTACTTTCCGGCCGCGGTGGACCGGCCTGCCGAGCGGCACCGGTACCGCTTAAACGCCCACAAACGACACCAACGTGACGAATGGGCTGGGCCGGGGCCGTCCAATTTGGGACAGACAGAAGGGTGTGTCCGTTCAGGCACAGACGTTTCTCACTGCCCATGTATGGTTGTTGTCGCGCGGTGCGCTATATTTGAGCAGCAGGTCCGCTGTGCTGCGTTCTATATGTGGTGATGTGGGACTGTTGTCACGCCGTACGGTACATCTGAGTGTTACCCGTCTCCGGGCGGGTGGGGATATTGGCGAGGGGCGGGCCAAGGTCGTTGGTCGCTGTGTTTATATTGCTGAGGCCATCTGCAGAGTGAGTCAGGCGCGGCACACGTCACCCTCTCAGCTCGCGTACACAGAGGTCCTGTGTGCTGTGTGTCCTGTGTAGTGTCACTGCTCGGGACGGCAGGGTACAGTCACCCCCTCAGCCCGAGTACACAGACTCGGGCGCGCGTAGTGTCACTGCCCGGTACTGCAGGGAGCGCCCTCCCCCCCCCCCCCCCAGCCTTATACAGACACTCTATGCCCCGCCCGCCGCCTTGTTCTCCCGGGACGGTCACCCCCGGAAGCCTCTGTCGTTCCGTCGCGCCCGGTCTGGTCTGTGTAGAACGCACCGGCGGTTAGCAAACAGGCACACAGCGCGATGGTGTTGGCTGTGTGTGTGTGTGTGTGTGGGGGGGGGGGGATGTACTGCTCACCCGCTCAGTGCCGTGTTGGGGTGTGCGGTGCAGGCTGGTCGGGTAATCAGTTATGTGTGTCAGGCGGTCGCGTGACCTTGTAACTGTTCAGTTTGTTAGCTAGGTATGACCCAAACAACGGTCTTCAATACAGGCGATCTCCAATGTTTCACGTGCGTCTTCGTGATGTCTGCGTACCACATGCTTTGTGTCAGTGCGTGTGCCATCATGCGTGTCTTCCTCCGTTTCTGACGCTCGCCGCTCTTCGCCCGGCAGACTGTACCTGCGGGACAAACTCTCTGACGCGCTATGGACGGAGAACCTGTCGGCCGAACCGCAGATCCTGCGGGACTACTTCTCGCGCTTCATGTGCCAGCCTCGGGACCGGGAGTACCCGGACCTGTGCCAGCTGCCCGACCTCACCGAGGACACGCTGCTGGGAAACCTGCGCGCCCGCTTCGCCAGCGGACACATCTACACGTACGTCAACTCGATCCTCATCGCGCTCAACCCGTTCAAGTTTTACCCGATCTACAACCCCAAGTATGTGAAGCTGTACCAGTCGCGGCGCCTGGACGAACTGCCGCCGCATATTTTCGCCATCGCCGACGCCGCCTACCAGAAGATGCTGCGCGGCGGCCGCAACCAGTGTATAGTGATCAGTGGCGAGAGTGGCAGTGGTAAGACGGAGAGCACCAACTTCCTGCTGCACCACCTAACGGCGCTCAGCCACAAGGGCGCGCTGGCGTGCGGCGTCGAGCAGACCATCCTGGCCGCCGGGCCCGTCCTGGAGGTGAGTGGACCGGGTGAACAGGGGGTTCGGCTGGGCCGGGAACTGTGCTGGAGGTGTGGAGGGGGTCGGGTTGAGGGGATACGACTGGTGCTTCTATGACAACATGCAATTAATGAATAAGCCCTCGTAATATGACACGGTTCCATCATCATTTTGATCGGGCTGCATGCCACTGCCCGTCTCCAACGTCTTCGTTTGCTGTGAATAATGAACAGAAGATCAGTTATACACTAAATTGACATAGTTACAAACTAAATCATACGTAACTGTATCTTAGTAATATTTCAACATATTTCCCAAGACATCTTCTATAGCATAATATCGTAAATGAAAGAACATTAGCGAAATTCGTGGGAGGTGATAAATTTGCAACCTGACTACCGATCTGTTAATGTCCGTCGGCTGCCGGTTTCAGCTTGCACTACTCCAGAAGAAATGTGTGCCGTCTGCCAGACAACAATCTCGCTCATCTTCATATTACCAATGTATTTATTTTGCCGAGTGATGTGGACAGTTATGGTGGCGCGCTGGCAGCCGGTGGCTTATTGCTGACGGCGCTGTCCAAACCTCACAGCTCACCGTCCCGGCCGGCCGGCGGGCGGCTGTCACCCGTGATAGGCCACCGGGCGTGTCACGGGCGGGGTGGGTGCCTCCGTGACCGGCCCCGTCCACACTGCCCACTGTCCAGAGCTGTCTGTCCCGGTGGGGTGGATGGCATACTTGCCGCTGGTGTCAAACAGCAAAAGAGAGACTCCCCTGCTGCAGACGGAGAAAACAGAGACTCCTTTGCCGTAGATGAACATTTAGCACTGGCCAGGTCGGAACTGATCGCCGCTGGCTCTAATCGCTGTTGGGGAGTTTACCGGGGGCTATTGTTTCGTGTGATTCACTAGATTTCTCACCATAGTCTAGTCTCGTCGGTGTCCAATAACAACACTGCCTGATAGTCACGGAGTGAACAGGGACGTTTCATAGGCTGACCGCTGCCGTTATAGCCTCCCTGTTTGACTGCTAGTGACGGAGCGAATAGGGACGTTTCAGTGTCAGATAGCTGCCCTTACTGCCTTCCTGTTTGACTGCTAGTGACGGAGCGAACAGGGACGTTTCAGAGTCAGATGGCTGCCCTTACTGCCTTCCTGCTTGGTCCCTAATTAAGCCTGACAGGTCACTAGGTGCGCGATGGGCATACTGTTAGCGCCAGGCACCTATGTGTTTGGTTTGGCCGCGCTGCGAAGTTGCAGTCTGCACAATGGTGCCGCGTTTTTTGGACGTCATGGCTCACAGTTCAGTAGCTGTTCCGGGGCTGCATCGGGCCTGTCCACCTTTAACGCAGGTTTCATTGTTATACTGTACCACGGCAGTCGATGTGGAGCCTGCTGTCCCTGGCTCCGCTGAGGCGCACTGTCGCGAGCTGTGAGCGCCGCAGGGTTGTGCTTGACTCATGAGTCGAGTCAGAAATTTGACTCAACTCTGACTCAAATGAGTCAGATTTGAGTCGAGTCGGATAAAATGTTGAGCTGTTGAGTTGAGTCAGAGTTGAGTCGGACAAAAATATTAAGGTGTTGAGTTGAGTCAGAGTTGAGTCAAAAACATTTAGGAACATGAGTCAGCTGACTCAACTTTCTAGAAACAATATATAGTATAAGTTTTTCATCCTCCCCATGCTTAACAACTTAGGCCTGGCCCTCCTGCCGGATTTTTTCACCCCCCCCCCCGCTCAACAACTTTTTTATCTGAGTCAATTTTGAGTCAACACACTTGACTCAACAAAAAATTTGAGTCAAGTTTGAGTCAACTCATATTTTCATTGAGCCGCTTGAGTCATGAGTCGAGTCAAGGGAAAAAATCAGCTCCTTGTTTGAGTCAGAGTTGAGTCAGGGCATTCTGAAGTTGAATGATGAGTCGAGTCGGCAAATTTTTTTGAGTCGAGCACAACCCTGGAGCGCCGGCGGCGGCCGTTCCTCCCCGGGCCGCGACCATCACTCAGGGGCGTGTGTCGTTGGCGGGCGGGACGCACAGCGGCGCCGTTGTGCCGGCGGGCGTACTGTTTGGACGGGGGCGGCCGGCCGACACTGTGTTGACCGAGCGCTGACGGCCGCCGCTTTATGGAGCCAAACACAGCACGACGCTGCTACCGGCCAGCCGACCGGCCGCCGTCGTGTTTCGCCGACCGGTGGAAACTGAACGCCCTGCAGGGTAATCAGCAAACGGATGGGGGCATTTGATCCACCGTGAGGAATAATCCGTCCACCGATGTAGCAATCAGTTCGCCAGGGGAGTGATTATTTCACCGACGGGGGTATTTAATCCACCGGCGGCTGCTGAGGGGGCTGTCACCCGAGTCTGCGGAAGCGACAGCTCCCTGACCGGAGGCAGGGGCCATCCCCCTGACCGCACCACCGCCGGTGGAGATACTGGAAGCGGGGGTAGCTGTGACCACCTGTGAACGGTAATGCTGATGCGTATTTGACCGCCGCGGGGCGAGCTCGTTACCCGATAGTCGTTCCCCTCTCACCTCACCCAACTCCGTGACTATCTCGGTGAAAATGAGCTGAGGGGTTGACTCCGCGGCAGCTGCACCCTTCCCTCTCTCTCCCCCATGACGGTGCACGCCGATTCGGTACTGTATCTTGTTTACGAGAGACGGCTCATCGGTGCGTGTCAGGGCGATACCATTGGATCGCCGAGTATGCTGCAGTCGTGTCAGGATTGGGAGCGCTGCTATGGGGAAGCTGTTAGAGCAGCCAGTCGTCCGTTGCTGCTTGCCCAGACACCCTGTCGCTCCCGTTGGCTCATCGGGGAAGGTCGCTCGGGAGGTCGTCATGTCCCCAGCCCTCCACTTCCCCCGGCGAGTCTCTGTTGGTGGTAACAGTCGGTCGTGTGTCTCGAGGGGCACTCCATCTGAACGGCGTTATCTCAAACAGTAAACACCGTTCGATCTCCATGGTGTGATAAACACTGATCAGTTAGGACATCACTTGAATGACCGGCGCTGGTTACCGGTCCCGGGCGACCTGACGGCTGCAGTTGCCATGCCTCGGACGGTGCCCGATGAGTCAGGCATTCCTCACGGTGGCTGCGGAGGGACCGCTGTTTGGGTTTACGGTCTAATCCCCGCCGGTATGGGAACTGATATGGGAACAGATGCCGTGCGGTGTGTTGCGGGGACCAGATCCCATGTAGGACCGGTCAGAGAACCGGCGCTACTATCAGAGGCTAGGTGTTGGCTGCCCGCTGGGAATGGAGTGTTTGAAATATCGTGTGATTGGGGATGTTTGCCAAGATGTGATTGTTATATGCATGCTTTGCAGGCATTGAACCATACACATTAAATATGCGGGCTTTAAAGCGTCGTATGGGGTGAACTCTTTCATCCTTGCCCTCCATCTGTGAAGGGCGTATGTTTTCACAAGTGTTGACTGGCTTTATCGCTTTGCTTGGTTTTGAATCGACAGGTGTAAACAATATTTACGTGCTTCTGCTTCGCTATTCTGATTATACGGAATAGCTTTTGCAGTTTGCAACGCAAGTTTAATTGGAACACAAATGGTTTTCGAGCGACACCTTTTGATCGGTGACGTTCTACGAATGTATATTCTCTAGCGTTGCTGAAGAGGCCGAAAATTGCTGGAATATCGCTGCCTGTGGCGGCCGCTGTTAATTTGTTTTTTTTTATCAGCCCGGCGGCCGGCAGCGATGGCGAGGATATTTGGGAATGTGAAATTGCCGCGGCTAATGGCTGCTCGGTGTCGACACCGGCTCATATTCGCCGTCGGCTCAGCGCCGTGATGGATGGAGCCGGCGCCGGTCGTGCCAAACGCCGTGTCATCGGCCGAGCCTCCGCGCCCGCGCCCGGTGACGTCATCACGGGTCACGGTCTGACGTCACCGGTGACGCGGACGTACCGAGACGTGGTGACGTGCCGCCGTCAGCCGAGGCTCCCACCGGGGCGCCGGTGGGCCCTGGTGACTGATGCCCTAGTACAGTCACACATCAGTCTCCAGTCGCCTTTTCTCCAGTCCTTTCTCCAGCCGCCTTCGTTAGAGCTCCGGCGTGAGCTCCGTGCTGTCTTCTGACGCCGTCCGCCGTCCACTGTCTGGTTTGGGCGTCCGTGACTGGCCCGCCCGCCCGGGCGCCTTTCCGTGACTGCTCCGTCCGCCCGGGCGCCTTTCCGTGAGGGGGGTCACGGCCGCCGCTCGGGGCCGGGCCCGCCCCCCCCCCTCAGACGGCGCTCTCCTTATACGGACACGTGACCAGCCAACGCTGATTGGTGGCCGCTGGGTAATCATGCAGCCCATCCTCTGTACTGTAGCCGGCGTGGTGGTTTGGGCCGATCGCCATCCATGAGCTGACAGTCAACGGACCATACCATTACCCACTACCCAGTGCAGGAATGGGCCCCGACCTATTAATGATTATCTCACTAGCTTCTGATCCATACTTGCGTGAAACTTCTGGCCGACTCACATTTTCATGTGCAGTTGAGTCATGCTAATTGCATTGATTGCTAATCGGATGTGATGATGCACCAGCACACCAAATCCCACTTCAGCTTGTTTAAAGGAAATAGTTCACTTTCCTGAAATTAGTATTTTGCTATGGATTTATGTTTTTTTATGCTCAAAATGATCAGAAAATAAAACAAAACGTTTTTGTAAAAAGGATTATTTTCTATATTTTAGTATAAGAAGAACTATATTCTATATAAAATAATGTTTGACGCGGAAGCTTATTACGCGTTGACCAATCATATTGCGTAGGACAAACCCATCGGCTGTAAGCAGCATTCTGATTGGCTGACGATGACGTGACTGCATTCCTCAGCAAGGCACGCATTCCTCTGCAAGGCACTCTTTTCGGAACGAAAAATGGAATATCTTCGTCTAGGATGATCGTTGGGCCGTAAAAGCTTCTGATTTGTGCTAGTCTCAGCGCAAGCAACAAAACTGCTATTCCAGTTCCAAACCCCATGTTAAAAGTGAACTATTTCCTTTAAATCTGTTTGTTTGCCACCAGTATCTCCTCTGCAGACCGCGAGGCGCCATCACTCGGGCGTTTGCTAGTTTACACGTTGTTGAGCTCGGTGTGACTCACAGCTAACCGTGTGTATTGGCACTGACTAGCGGCCGTCCCCGTTCGCCCCCGATTCTCCGCCGCCCAGCCACGACTGTTGTTACATGTGTGCGTCACCTCCGGCAGGCCTTCGGCAACTCCAAGACGGCGCACAACAACAACTCGAGCCGCTTCGGCAAGTTCATCCAGGTCAACTACAAGGAGAACGGCCAGGTGCACGGGTGAGTGGGGATTACGTGATGTTCATGAGAGTGGGAATTAGTGAGAGTTAGAGGAGCCATCAGTGCGCACACGGGTCAGTACGGGACGTGGGTGGAAGTAGAGCAATTGGGGTGGAAACGGAAGATATGGGTGGTGTGGAGCTATCAGGAGGCGCGCGGGGTATGTTGGTGGTGGCGGAGCGGACCCTTTCCGGGCGCTCATGGGGGATGTGGGTGGTAGAGAACTTATCGGGGCGCACACGTGGGGTATATGGGAGTTAGAGGAGTAATCGGGGTGCATACAGATACAGACTGGGGGGAGTGTGTACTGTGCATGTGACGAACCGTTGATAGGCTCAGTTACCGTACTCCGCACAATCCTGGTAGGGAGGCGGTGGCGTGAATTTACGCATGCCACCTTGTTACTGATTTGTGAATGATTCTAGGCCGTTTCTTATGTCAATTTTCTTTTGTTGTAGTTGTTACAGTGCGTAGTTGCGCGGAGGGAACTGTTTTTCGACGGTTTCGGTCGTCTCACATAACTGCGCCTATTCGAAAATCAAAAGTAATTAAAACGAATCTCACTGTCTCTGTAGTATTCCGCTGTACCTTTTCCGCGCTGTGGTGACACGGGAGCCCGCGCGCCGGCGGTCCCTGGGACCATTAGTTAGGGAGCGGGCAGTGGCGGTCATTAGCGGGTCGCCGCGCCGCTCCCCGAGACCCTGCTCCCCGACAGCCGTCGGACCGTGTGCCCGGACCGGTCACGGTGCCGGCAGCTCGGCCGATTTGTGCGCACCCGCTGTCCCCGTCCGCGGCGCCAGGGAGGGAGTCCCGACGGACGGACAGCGAGGAATTGATGAACAGTGGCTGTCTCCCGTGTCCCCGGGCGCACGTAACGATGGCTTTCTCCGGCACCGTCTGCTCCTACCGTCCGACACTGTCGGCATTCCGACGGTCGTCTCCGGTGCCGCTGCTGATTATTGTGTCGAGTTTTGTGCCACGAATGTGCCCTGCGAACTCAGCAAATGATTGTGAAGTCGGCCGAAACGAAAGATGCTACCGGGAAGTGACACCTCCTCTGCCGACTTCAGACCGTTGAGGGAGGCAGCGCCAGCCAGCGCTGCTCGGTTTGACGGGGCTCAGAGGGGATTATCCCATTGTCGGGACTCGGGCAGTGGCTGACAGCTCTGCACAGAGGCTCCTGACAAATGTGTGGCAACATACGCACTCTGTGATCGTGTAGGTTGTGGAAGGATTTGAAAGGAGGAGCACTATCGTCAGGTGGTCTTCGAAGCCAGGGTCTTTGATGTTAACCCTCGCCGGCACAGGCCATTTTGCGTCCTTCGACGGCACAAGGGGGGGGGGGGGTACGACCCCCCTCGCGTTTGGCCCGTGATCAAGCTAGAGCTTCGCGGAAAAAACGAGCGTGTTGCCCGTCACGAGAGGAAGCCGATGATACCCAATTTTAAGGTCCTAGGTCATTGGGTGACCTTCCAGGTAAGGTCAATGACCCGAAAACCGGGAAAATCGGGACCTGTTAGAAAGTCGTAAAGTGTGGCTGCTTTGTGGTTTTCCGGGGTGCTGATCACGAATATCGTGTTAATTTTGATCAGAGATGATGTCTCTAAGCATTTAGACCAGGTCGGGTCAGGTCAGGTCAGGTCAACCGGTAGGGGTTGTGACGGGTATTCGTAATCCGTGTCAACCGCCTCTGACAGCTTCGTAACATGTTACGAAGGCACCAAAACTACTTCGTAAATGTTCAAATGGTTGCTGTATTCGAATTCAGCTCCAAAAACTAGCCTAGAAGCATGTAAAACTCGAAAAAGTGAACCAAGGTCACCCGAGGCCACCAAAGGTCAATGACCTGACCTGACCTTCAGGTGACCTTGACACCCACCCTAATGTATGAGAGCAACATCAAATCACATGTTTGAACGTTTGAAACCACGAAAAGCTTGCAAATGCGCGGCTAATGCGAGCCGACATACGCCGAATCGCGATTCCGGCCAAACATGGTCTCGGAAAAGAGGTCACAGGTCAAAGGTCATTTGGGTCAGGGTCATGAAATTTTCAGGGAACGTGTAAAATTGATCAATGCGAGGGTACTGAAAGTTTCGTCGCGATCGGCCGCTTTTTACGCGAGTTATTCGCGAAAAACCTTAGGGGGGGTTGCATCACCCCCCCCCCCCCGCCCTGTGCCGGCGAGGGTTAAGATGTTACGATGAAGGTCTCCCGGTGCTTTGTAGTCCAATTATTGTTATAGCGCTGCTGGAGCTGTGCTCTTGTTTGAGGTGCTGATTATCGTTAATAATGCCTAATCGCTATTCACCTTTAATATTATTGAGGAGAAGTGGCGTGACGTGCACTCAGTGGCGTGCAGCAAATCTCACTGGGTGATGAAATAATGTTACCAATATTGTTCGACTCACTTAGTCATTCACTTTGTAACTCATTTACTGGAATGCGGCTATGGTGTTGCGATTATCGTCGGATTAATTGGCCCTAAAAGGCTGTGTGGACGATGGTGTGGTCACCGTACTCATTTTGCATTGTAATTACATAATCGGACACCTTTAAGCAAGCAGACATGTCATGTTTATGCTAGTTGCGGATTTGTGTGACGAATTGTCATGTTACTTTTCAAGTTTCCTAGGTGCTGGTATGCGATATTTGCATGTGCGAACTGTGGTGATTCATAAACTGGCTAGCGCATGATCTGAGTATATTGGTTTTACATGTTTTTACTCAACTGAGTGATGATCAAACGATATGTCATTATGCAGCTCTGAAATATTGTTAGAGGCGACAGGTTTCGTACAGAGCTTATGCACATTGCACATGCTAACGAGGCACTTTTACTCATTCCACTCCTATTTGCTCTTTTCTGACTATTGCCCACTTGAAGGGCGCTCGATGACCCGTGCTGACCCCTGTACTGCCTGGGTCAGCTCCAATCCCTCCCCGTCGGCGGCTGATGGCCGCGTGTTCCGTGACCCCGGACCAACCCGGCCACGGACGGCACGGGTCGTCGGCGGGAACCCCGACCAATGTCTCACCCAAACGCGGACGGCGACTACGTGCCTATCAGGAACGGTGCTGACCCTGGGGAACCGATGAGGAAGGTGATATTTATGTACTCCGCCTCCTCTGTGGTCTGCTGCTGACCTGCCGTTAATCTGCCGTGGATCCGCTAACGACATTGACCTACAGTTCGGATGAACTTGACCCATGGTATACCTGTTTTCAGACCCGCTATCTATGCCTGTTTCACGTGCCATGTGACAGATCCCCTGTGTCCGTCCCCAGTCACGTGTGACAGGTCACATATTTCTCTCCTCAGCGCGGTGGTGCAAAAGTACCTGCTGGAGAAGTCGCGTATCGTCTCCCAGGCGCGGAACGAGCGCAACTACCACGTGTTCTACTACTTGCTGGAGGGCGCCTCGGAGGAGGAGAGGCAGCAGCTGCACCTGCTGCCGCCGTCCCAGTACCGCTACCTCAGCCAGGTGAGCCCACCGAGAGTAGAGGGAGCTGAGTTGACCATCGCCGCGCCCCTGAGGGTTGCGACAGGGACTAGATTGACAGAGACCAGTGTTTGACGGGATCCTCGCGCCTGTCCTTTATTGGCCCTAGCTACTGCCGCTAAATGGTAGCCGCAGTAATCATAGCCACCGTGGGTCCTAGTCTGCTGTCGTCAGAAAAAAAGACTAGGCGGTCCAAAAAGTCGGTGATGCCTGTCACTGCTGTCTATTTGGGCCTGACTTCCACCAGCTGGCTGCAAAACAGGCCGACTTTTTGGAATAGTTAGTCTACTTAGCGTGACAGGGAGGTGGCTACTCCTCTAACACTTGAATGATGTATTTGATACAGTTTACATTAGATGAAGTGGTGGAAGCGAGCTGATAACCTGGCGACGTTAGCTAGAGCCGCTGACCGCCGGCGGTATGGCAGAAACTTGCCATAAGCCACCGCTGGCGCATCGTCCCATCGTCCCACTGCTGCCACCGTCCCTTTGTCCCCCCCGGCTCCCCTTCCCTGCCCCGGTCCGATCCTTGCCTGTCGGAGCTGCCACAGCCGCGAGTGTCGCCGACAGCCGGCTGGCAGTCGAGCACCCCTCCGGACTCCCGGGGCGGGTCTGTGAGACGGCGCCGAACCGGCCCTGTTGCCGGGCTCCAACGGGCGTTCCTTCTGCTGACGAGGAGGCTTTGACGGACCAGTGACGGATGGGTGGTGACAGATGTGGCTGACGGGCCCGACACCCCAGCTGACGGGACTGACTTGAGGGTGTTTAAAGCGATAGCCGTGGGCCAGTAGACTCCGATGAACATTTAAAAAGTCCGCCGCTTTGGTCTAAAAAGAGAATAATTCCTAGCGATTGCCCTTTTATCTCATACGGCTGTGTGTCTTCTCCCCCGGTTCCACCTCCCATGCTCAGTGCTCACCCTCCCGGGCCGCCTCTCACACCGCCTCCAGTACCGACAGACTGCAGCTCTGTGGAGCGGTGAGACGGGCAGGGCAGTGATCCGCCACCCTCCTGCGTCACAGCCGGTCACGGCTCGTCCCCGCGCCGCGCCGACAGCCCGTCCAGCTGGCCAGCCGCCACCGGAACCGGCGCAGCCCAGCCCGTCCCTCTGTCCCCCTGTATACGACACAGTCCTCTGTCCCTCCGTCCCGTCCAGCTGGCCAGCCGCCACCGGAACCGGCGCAGCCCAGCCCCGTCCCTCTGTCCCCGGCGCAGCCCAAACTCAGTCCCTCGGTCCCCGGCGCAGCCCAAACTCAGTCTCTCTGTCCCCGGCGCAGCCCGACCCCGTCTCTCTGTCCCCGGCGCAGCCCAAAGCCGTCCCTCGGTCCCCGGCGCAGCCCAAACTCAGTCCCTCGGTCCCCGGCGCAGCCCAAACTCAGTCCCCCTGTCCCCGGCGCAGCCCAAACTCAGTCTCTCTGTCCCCGGCGCAGCCCAAACTCAGTCTCTCTGTCCCCGGCGCAGCCCAACCTCAGTCTCTCTGTCCCCGGCGCAGCCCAAACTCAGTCTCTCTGTCCCCGGCGCAGCCCGACCCCGTTTCACTGTCCTGGGTGCAGACCTCGCCCCTCAATCTCCCATCCCTCTGTACCGGGCACAGTCCTCTGTCCCTACCGCAGCTCTACCTCCTTTTTTCTGGGCGTAGCTCTCTGTTCTTCAGTCATCGGTCCTGAGCGTTTCAGTTGAACTTAGCTGATTCGCAAGTTCTCTGATGCCTCTAGCTGATATGCCTCCTGGCAGTCAGCTCTGTCCCGGAAGCCAGCATAGTTGTCTCTTAGATCAGTTGCTGCGTTGGTGGCGAGGGAAGTACTGCACTCCGGACCGTGGAGCGGTAGTGTCGACCGAGGTCGGAAGGTTGGACGATCTGTGGCTCGATTACGATAGGGAGGCTTTAAGGCGACCCTGTCTTTGAGCTGGATGCGCCTTTACTTCACCATTGTTAGTTCGCTAATGGGAACAACTTTTTTTGGATAGGCTTACAAACCTTGTAGTTGATCTTCATCTCATAAGTTTGGATTTCGTTTACAGTGACATTTTATGGATGATGGTCATTCTACAGCGGTTCCATATATTTCTCCTTTATGACGGTGGCATTCTTTTTGGATGACATTGAGTCACTGCCATAACAGTGATCTCAGCGACGGGCGCCTCTCGGAATTCCCATGGATGACGCGGGCGGCGCGGACGTCAGCGGCTTTATTGCCGCTCACTTAGCGGGTGTTTGTTTGTTTGGCCGCCGCTTGGGGCGCGTGCTGTGCCGCCGGGCCGCTCTGCCGCTGTTTGTTTGCCTCTGGCGGCGGCGCTGCGACAGGAAGGAGCCGGCCGACGGCAGCCGCGTCTCGCGGCGCATTCCTGGTGACATGGTCTAGTTGCGCCGCGCCGGGCCGCGGGCCAAATAGCCGGCGGCGGCTCGGGTTCGGCGGCGGCGCCGGCTGACAGCGCGCAGCGGTAACTCAGCCGGTGGTGACGGGCCGCGCCGGCAACCGGAGACGACGCGCGCCCCACTCTGACGTCAGCCGAGCAGCGGCGACATCGGCCGAGAGGACCGCCAGCTCCAGCGCCCGCCGCGCTACGGCCTGGGGCAGGCCGAAGAGCCGGATGAGGGATGTTGGAGTCGCTGATAGTGCGGGTGCTGCTGCTTACTGAAGGTAACTGTGTTTCCTCAGTTTGAACCTTATCTTTTTCGGGTTGCTGACTGTCTGAGTCGCTCCCGCCTGCCAGTACGGGCCGCTGAAGCTGAGCCCGACCCGCGACCAGTCGTCGGTCGGCGAGCCGTCCGTCCCGCCGGGCGGCGGCGCCGGACTCCGACCGAGCGCCCGCCGGGCGGCCCCGCGGTGCCAGGTGTGCGCCGTCGAGCGCGCCGCCGCTACTGCGTCGCTGCCGACGGCGGCTGGCGGGCGGCCAGTGTCGCGCCGCGCCGCGCGGGCCTCACGTGCCGACGCCGGCGGCGTCACGAGGCCCGGCTGTCGCCTGCGACACTACCCCGGCCGCTGAGGGGACGCCCCGGCAGCCGGCGGGACGTCAGGGCGCCATCACGGAGCCGTCGACCGCTCTCCGAGGGCCGCTCGGTGCCGGGCGCATAGTGTGCGCTCACTGCGCGCCCCTGTCCTGTCGGGCCGCGCGCACCGTGTCACAGCTCGGGCGGTGAAGCGTCTCGGGCCGCCGCGCGCCGGCCAACTCGGCTGCGTTCGGCCGTCGCTCCGAGCGCAGGCGGCCGAGCGGCGGCTGGCGTGGGCTGCAGCCGCCCGCCGCCGCCAATCAAACCGACACTATTCGTCACGGCGCGCGGCAAACTATCAGCAGCCGGGCGCAGAGCTGGCGCGCGCAGAAAAATGGGGTCTCTGACCCGCCCGTTAATCAGCCGGCCACGCCCGGCCCAGTCGGCCGCCAGTCGGTGGCGTATTTAGCTTTGACTTAATTGCTAATTTAGGGGCTCAGCTGTGATCCCGAAAAGTCAAACAACTGATTGCGCTGCGCGATGAAGTGGTGACTTCTGACGGGGCCTGAATCAGTTCATCAGTTGAGGCAGCTGAGGCATCAGTTATATAGAGAAGTCTGTGGTTGAGGTTATTCAACTTATCGTTTAACTGGTGCCACCTGCATCTCGCTCGTTCGAAATTGTTGTGAAAGCGGTCAGTTTCTTTCAGCGTTACCGCTCTCGCCGGCCGTCAGCCGATTGTACAGTGTCTGGCTGCAGCTGTCCCTCGCCCTTCCCTTCCTCCGGTGTTGAACTCGCATCCTCACCCCCCCACCGACGCCCTACCGAGACGGCCAGCAGCCCAGTTCCTGAAGCCAGGGTTGCTTCGAGAATCGAGCCCCATTGTGCTGTCTTGGATGCTTGCTGGATTGATGTAAAATAAACAAACGTCTGGGCTATCTACTTTGGGTCCCAAGTTGTTAAATGATATGGATTTGCTGTTTGTGCTTCGTCTATCCGTGTTTTACAAACTGCTGATATTTTTTTCTTTGCTTGCCTTTTCTTTGTTACGATTCATGGAGATTTGTCTATTAACTCGTGTTTGTCATTCCCTATGAACATTCTTGGCAGCACGGGGACCCCCATATCAACCATCATGACAACAAATATCATTTTCTACCCGCAGAGCGAGTGTACTCGCCTAGAGGTAGAGTTAATGCGAGTTCAGTGTATGTGACCCACGTATCTGTCTACCCTCAGAGCGAGTGTAACAGCCTGGAGGGGGTGGACGCCGACTACGAGTTCAGGTGTATAATATGACCTATGGTGTTTCTCTACCCTCAGAGCGAGTGTAACAGCCTGGAGGGCGTGGACGCCAAGTACGAGTTCAGCCGGCTGCGCCAGTCCATGGAGATGGTGGGATTCTCGCCGGACAAGCAGAGCAAGCTGTTCGCCCTCCTCTCGGCCGTGCTCCTAATCGGTGAGTGGGTGTTTTTCGGGGGGGGGGGAGTAGGAAGCTGCTGTCGGCTGTACAGTAGGTCTACTAAAAAAGTCCCCCGCTCCAGAGGCGGCCGGCCGGCCGAACCCCCGGATTCCAGCCCCGACTCAATTGCGCAGGCCGCGGCAGCGACACGGGTCAGGTCGCGGCGCCCGGCGAGTGGGTCAGTTGGCGGCGGTCGGCCGTGGAGCGAGGGCGCCGTGTGTGGGGCGCAGAGATGCCGCAGTGCAGAGGAGGGGGAAGATAGTGACTCTGCACTATGCCGGAAATGATGCCCTTGTGATCTAAATCAAACACCTGCAGACGCAGTGCATATCCTTCCTCGCCCCATTCCTATTTTATCGTAATCCTTCAATAATCCGTAATGACCATTCGACGCAAGCAAGCAAACAAAACAACCCGTTTAGCGGCGACATCATCTCGAATAAAAAAGCGACAGTGATGATTAACCCTCGCCGGCACAGGCCATTTTGCGTCCTTCGACGGCACAAGGGGGGGGGGGGTTGGTTGGTACGACCCCCCCTCGCGTTTGGCCCCTGATCGAGCTAGAGCTTCGCGGTAAAAACGAGCGTGCTGCCCGTCACGAGACGAAGCCGATGATACCCAATTTTAAGGTCCTAGGTCATCGGGTGACCTTCCAGGTCAGGTCAATGACCCAAAAACCGGGAAAATCGGGACCTGTTAGAAAGTCGTAAAGTGTGGCTGCTATGTGGTTTTCCGGGGTGCTGATCACGAATATCGTGTTAGTTTTGATCAGAGATGATGTCTTTAAGCATTTAGACCAGGTCGGGTTAGGTCAGGTCAGGTCAACCGGTAGGGGTTGTTACGGGTATTCGATATACGTGTCAACCGCCTCTGACAGCTTCGTAACATGTTACGAAGGCACCAAAACTACTTCGTATATGTTCAAATGGTTGCTAAATTCGAATTCAGCTCCAAAAACTAGCATAGAAACATGTAAAACTCGAAAAAGTGAACCGAGGCCACCCGAGGTCACCAAATGTCAATGACCTGACCTGACCTTCAGATGACCTTGACACCCACCCAAATGTATGGAAGCAACATCAAATCACATATTTGAACGTTTGAAACCACGAAAAGCTTGCAAACGCGCGGCTAATGCGAGCCGACATACGCCGAATCGCGATTCCGGCCAAACATGGTCTCGGAAAAGAGGTCACAGGTCAAAGATCATTTGGGTCAGGGTCATGAAATTTTCAGGGTAGGTGTAAAATTGATCAATGCGAAGGTACTGAAAGTTTCGTCGCGATCGGCCGCTTCTTACGCGAGTTATTCGCGAAAAACCTTAGGGGGGGCTGCATCAACCCCCTGTGCCGGCGAGGGTTAAAATAGACTTAGCGCGAGGTCAAATCGAGGGGTATATAATATATGCATCACATACCTTTACATTCTATATATGTATCAATCACATACCGAGTATTTTATTCCCATCTAGCAAATCAAGATTGGGGATCTTGTCCAACAAGTCAGCGGCCGTTCTAGACACAGATGAATGCTTTGTTTTCGGTCGCATCATTATCTGCAATAATTCGAAGCGAGGTTTAACTCTCGCCGGCCGAGAAGAAGGGGTGAATGCCGCCACCATGTATTTTTTTTTTTTTGCGGTAGCTCAAAGCACACTGATGATCGGAGGCTGACATTTCATATGCCTTGCATTTGATTCAAGCCGAATCATTTGACATCAACCACGTTTTCAGGTCAGGTCACTTAACCATGGCGTCTTAAGTAAACCTCTGTACGGTTGTCGGTTATAAAATGATGCAAATCCGCAATGCACTTAGTGTCATAAAAGCATAATGGGGAAATATGGAAACTTAGTCTGAATTGCTGTTAGCACTGTTTTGAGAGACATGCTTAAACATATAATCAAGTAAAGTAACCGTACTCTCATAGTTAATATCCAAAATCGTAAGAAAAAGGCCTGATAATTCCGAGGAGCTTTCGGCTTACGCCTTCTTCAACTCGCTCCCAGAGCGAGTTGAAGAAGGCGTAAGCCGAAAGCTACTCGGAATTATCAGGCCTTTTTCTTACGATTTTGGATATTAACTATGAGAGTACGGTTACTTTACTTGATTATATGAAATATGGAAACTGTTAATTTGGCGTCGGAAATGATCTAAAATTATACCTCAAGCACTTCAAATCGTGACTTCCTACATTCTTGGCAAGGTCTAATGCTTCACTTTTGCATTGTTCGCCTTGCGTGACGTCATTTATGATGTCACTAGGGTGATAGGTGTGCTTCGTCAATAACTCCCGATCAAAATGAGCTAGCCAGTCGGGACAGCCATCAATGGACTTTGCAAGACTTGCCGAATCTAATGTTATGCAACATGTTCTCCTTTCAACAGCTTCGTGACCCGTGTTGCCCTAACATGACATTGGCCTCAGGTAAACATCCTAAGTTGCTTCACCTAAACAAAAAAGCATATACATCGACGCGTCTGAGAACAGAAAACACGATTGTATCGAAATGACATTGTTGACAGAAAGGCCGGGTCAATTTTGAGATCGCTCAAGTCAATGGGAGAAAATTGAACTGCGCTTTTTTGGACGGAACGCATAATAAACACTCTGAAAACATGTGGTGTTTGATGAGATACAATACTGAATGAGAAAATTGTTTGTTTTGTTGGGAGCCATCTTTTTCGGTCTGAAAAGGCCCTTGCAGAGCTATAACATAATTATGCTTTAGTGTAGTACCTAATTGGGTTGTGCGAGCCAGCGGCAGTGATCTGCGGAAGCGAGACTGTTCCCGTGGGACGATTCTTCAGGTTGGCTGGTGGGGTGACCTCCAGTCCAGAGAGGGAAGCATGAAGACTAGGGGCGATGCGGATCGTTTTTTTCCTGAGGATAGCGAGAAGGGAAGGAATCTAGCACCCTTGACCCTTCCTTATACTGAATGTATCTCAGGCTGTTAAATCTCCTAAGCGTTTTTTTTTCTCCACATCAAGGTGTCATTAATAAAAATATGAAATCCGGGAGCATAAATTAAATATAGAAGTTGTGGCCAACAGAACATTATCAGTTGCGTTCAACATACTCGTAAGCATGATCACACACCCAGCTTACATATGAGCCATGTAATAATTATTTTTGATAGACATGCTTAAGTTATGAAATCATCTGAATTCTGAAGTGTTTGTTAAGTTCCACGATACGGATCTAATATCCTGCTATGCATGATGACCATTTCTGGTCAGGTCATGTCTTTGACCATAGGCCAAATTTTTCAAATGACCTTTAAAGATTATTTTTTGATTCATTCGAAGCGTTTTGATAAGAGGAACACGAGGCTGATAAAATTAAATCCAAGCAAGTTTTAAGCTAAAAACTTTTAAGTATTTGTGGAAAATCAATTGGTTTTCTCATAATACCGATGGTGGCAGTAGCTGTTATTTACGTGCTAAGCCGTTCACTTTAATTAAATCTGACAATATTATTCAGACATAACGGTAAACGAGCTGATTGTTGCGTTAGGTTAGGCTCGGTCGATTTCAGAGTGGGAAGGATGACAGGAATTAGGGGGAGACAGGGTGCCTGGGCGGGAGTCCTGGACCTCATGCTCCGCTGGGGCCGAGCCCATAATGTGGGTTGGATTGCCCTGACACATGGATAGCCCTGGGCGGTGTTTCACGGCCCCGCGCTGCAGCACGCTGCGCTGCGCTGCTTGCATTGTTGCGGTGGTTGATATGAATTCGGCTCCACGCTAGCGTTGCGAGCTTCCGAGTCTGTTGATGTTTCCATGGAAATTGGAAACTCAATGCACCGGTGCGCGCCAGGGGCGGATCCAAGGGGGGGGTCACATGGGTCATGGCCCCCCCCTTGAGGCCCGGGGGCCCAAAGACCTGCCAGGGGCACCACCGGCCTATCAGGGGTATCACAGTCCTCAGTCCTGACAGGGGCACCACAGGACCGCCAGGGGCACCACAGGCCTAGCAGGGACACCACGGGCCTGGTGCCCCTGGGCCCTGACAGGACTGTAACGCCCCTGACAAGCCTGAAGTGTCCCCGGCAGGCACGTGGTGCCCCTGACAGGCCTGAGGCGCCCCTGCAAGGCCGGTGGTGCCCCTGGCAGGCCTGTGGTGTCCACTGTCCATGGCAGGCCTGTGGTGCCCTTGCTAGGCCTCTGGTGCCCCTGACAGGCTTGTAATGCCCCTGGAAGGACTGTGGTGCCCCTGGCAGGCCTCTGGTGCCCCTGACAGGCTTGCGGTGCCCTTGAAAGGACTGTGGTGTCCCTGGGCCCTGACAAGCCTGAGGTGCCCCTGACAGGCCCGTGGTGCCCTTGTTAGGCCTGTGGTGCCCCTGGCAGGCCTCTGGTGCCCCTGGCAGGTCTGTGGTGCTCCTGGCAGGTCTGTGGCGCCCCTGGCAGACCTGTGTTGACTGGTGCCCCTGCTAGGTCGCTGGTGCCCCTCACAGACCTGTGGTGCCCCTGGGCCTTGACAAGCCTGAGATGCCTGGCTATGACAGGCTCGTGGTGCCCCTGATAGAACAGTGGTGCCCTTGCTAGGCCTGTAGTGCCCCTGGCAGGCCTCTGGTGCCCCTGCTACCCCTGCGCCCGGAGAGGACTATGGTGCCCCTGAAAAGCCTGAAGTGCCTCTCGACAGGCCCGTGGTGCCCCTCACAGGCCTGCGGTGCCCCTGGAAGGACTGTGGTGCCCCTGCCCCTAGGGGTGCTCATGGGCCCAACAGGCCCGTTGTGCCCCCCTGGCAGGCCTGTGTTGACTGGTGCCCCTGCTAGGCCGCTGGTGCCCCTCACAGGCCTGCGGTGCCCCTGGAAGGACTGTGGTGCCCCTGCCCCTAGGGGTGCTCATGGGCCCAACAGGCCCGTTGTGCCCCTGACAGGCCTGTCGTGTATACTTGCTAGACCTGTGGTGCCCCTGCTTCCTGGCAGGCCTGTGGTGCCCCTGCTTCCTGGCGGGTCTGTGGCGCCCCTACAAGGCCGTAGGTGCCCCTGACAGGTTTGTGGTGTCCCTGGAAGGACTTTGGTGCCCCTGACAAGCCTGAAGTGTCAAGGACAGACCCTTTAGACGCCAGGGTCAAGTTCGTCGGACTGACAACGATTCGCTTACCTGATAACGTTCCTGGTAAGTACTCACTACTCAGCGTCCACAACATATATACACATAACACATTCATATATACTTGCTTACAATTGGTAAATGTGGTTGTGGGTAAGAGTTAAGATACTGACTAAAAATAAAAAAATAAAAAACTGAAAATGGGGGCACCACCAAAATTAAGTGGACGAAATCCGTTGAGTTTTTAATTTTGGGTATAGGTAGGGGCACCACTTCGATTCATGACCCTCCCCTTGGAGTTTTCCTGGATCCGCCCCTGGTGCGCGCAACGCACCCTGTCCAAGCAAAATTTTACCACCGATGACCTCTGGAGTGGTGACATGACCTCTGGCTCTGACCCGATCTAAAATTGGCTGAAGTATTTTTCTTCTTCTTTTTGCTACTTTTGACGCTACTTCAAATGCCACTTAAATGCCCAAAGCTGAATGATGCTTAATACCCATTTCCCCTCCAAACAGGGCGTGAGCATTCCTGTGGGGCACGGGCTAACAATGACTATCTCATAATCATTGTAGCCATGAACATCTACTGCCATTCTTAAACACCGGTTTCGCTGCGCTGAGCGGTGGCCGTCCCGTTTGTTGGATTCTACGGCTGGCTGGCGGAAAGCGTTGCCGGCCGCCCGTCCACCGCCCGCGGGCCGGACCGAGCGGTCCCGCTGACCCTACCTGACCTGAGCCCGGCGCGATATGGACAGGCAGACGGGGGTTCGGCTCAGCGGAGGCAGCGCCCACTGGTGCTGGGGACTTTTTTAATAGACCTACTGTACTGCTGATTAGTGAGTAGGAGTTAGGGGGGAGTTAGTACCGGATGCTGCACTGGTCATGGAGGAGGTTTGCGAGGGAGGGACGATGTACTTTTGTTACTACTCGTAAGTGGGGAGGCTACTCTTAGGGGATGTTTCTGGACGAGGCTCGCTAATGCAACCCATGGCAATAGACTGTGATTAACATGTTTTTCTTACGCTTTCAAAGGGGATTGTGAATAATGTTCTTGTGGAAGGCGTGTCTTGAATAAAGCAGAACTCCACCCCTAATCCTGAAGCTGTCCGTCCGTCCGTCATCCGCCACCCGTCCTGTACGGCCGTCTGTCTGTCCTGTACGGCCGTGCGTCTGTCCTGTACGGCCGTTTACCCCGTCAGCCGACCGGCGCTGTGACCGCACTCCTCTGGCCGGGACGGACGCACCATTAAGCGGCCGGCGCGGCCCACAGCGCTACCAACCAGCCGCGACATGACCTGCCCCTCTGCTCCATCATGACTGCGTGCCGCCGCCGACTGTGTACCTGGGCAGGCCGCCAGGCGGTCGGATACCCGGCCGGTCGGTCGGCCCGTTTGCCCCTTCGTCCAGGCTGTGGGCTCGTTAGTTCTTCCGTCTGTCCGTGGATCCGTCAATCAGTTAGTTACCGTCAGCTGGTCGGTCAGCTGGTTGATCCGTCCGTCTGTGACGGGTATGTGCTCGGTGCTGGTGTGTGCGCAGTCGCACGTCCGCACGATGTCGGCTGCCACTCAGCGCCACGCACGCAGCATTTATCGGTCTGTTTCGCTGCCGGCGGTGGCGGCTCGCAGTGTCTATTCAGCTAGCGGGAAGAGTGGCCGCTGTGGTCGAGAAGGACTGCAAGATGCCGCTCAGCAGACCACCTGGGGTTTGTGTGTCTGTGGGCGAACTGAGAAGTCGAAGGCTGCTTTCAATGCTATAAGTGACCAAGTGAGCACGTTCGGGTCATGCTATAAGAGAATGTACACCGGTCACCGCGCCGAGCTGTCTCTGCTCTCAGACTGGCCTCTCGCTGATGTCGCTGATGTGAGCGGAGCGGGGAGCCGGTGATGTAAGCGGACTGCGGAGCCGATCCGGGCGCCAATGATGTGGACAGGGTGTGGAACCGCTCTCTTGCGCGGGGAGCAGCACAGGCTGCTCTCCGGGGGCAGCCTGCACAGGGGCAGCACAGTGGAGCAGCACTGATGTGAGCGGAATGAGGAGCCGCTGATGTGAGCGGCAGCGCGCCGGGCGCCAGGTGGTGGCGGCGCCTCCTCCGGCTGACGGCAGGCACCGTTTGTTTGTTTGTCTAAAGCGGCCGTCACCGGCGGCCGATGGCGCCGTGACGCCCGCTGAGTGATGGCCTGGCCGCGCGCCGGCGGCAGCCTCCCCGTGACCGCGGCGGCAGCGCGCGCTGACACGCTGCAGGCTAGTGCAGCGTGTCTGCCGAGTCTGGCGCGTCGCAATCGCTGCTCTTGCGGAGCTCACTTTACGCGCACTCATCGTCACGAGGATGTTACGATCTCGTTCGGAACATCAGCGGGGCTGAAACAGCAACATCAATCATAGTCTATGTCCTGGATTCCTTGCTGGTCTCTCATAGATTTAGTGTACATATGCTCTGTCTCCCTCTGCCGTCGATCCGATGGGTCCACTGCCGTAGCCTCGCCTCCGCTGGCTCTCTTCAAGGCGCTTCGTTTGCTGACTGTGGCTCCATCATTCCCCCCCCCCCCCCCCAGTGGAACGCTTGATATGCTTCACGAGCTGGAACGCCCGCCCAAAACCCTTAACTCATGTTTTTGACGATTCCAGTTATAAAAACTGACCATCATCGATATAGATCACAATTGAAGTCTGAATAAGATGGCAGATTATATGAAAAAAGATTCTGAAGGTACTCATTACTAAAATGACCTTAGTAGGCGGCGCGCCTTTAAACCCCAGTAAACAAGTGAACAACTATCTTCTTCCACTTTGCTGCTCCGTGAGTTGCATACTGTGAGTACATTCCCGTCAGATATGAATGTTTGGTACTCACAAATTGTACAGTTGCGTTAGGAAAGCAGTCATCCTCTTCGTGTATTGGGTTGTGTTTATACTCGTCCTGGGACTTCTATCTTTCCAGATCGGTCCTCCTGTTTTCCCCGCTCTACTGGTGGTTAAAATACCTGTCCGTCCTCACCTCTCGCCCCCGACTAACCCGGTCCTGACAGCTAACTGAGCGCCGCCGTCCAGCCGATCATTAGAGAGATACGCCGCGGCCGCGCAGTGCCTCAAAACCCGACACGTAAACAAACACGGCCATTTTTCTCCACCTGACCGACTTCCCTCGCCGACAGGCAACGTGGGCTTCCAGAACAAGAAGACGACCTACCACCACGACGAGTCGGTGAGCGTGAAGACCACGGCGCTGGTGGACGTGATCGCCGACCTGCTCAAGGTGCGCCACGAGGTGCTGAATGCGGCGCTCACCTACAAGCGCGCCCGCGTCGCCGGCGAGGTGGTCGTCATCAACTACCGCATGCAGGAGGTGAGCGTGGTGTCACGGTGGTGTGGCCACTGCGCCTGAGCTTTGGTGACGCCCTTTTTAGGCCGTATGATTTCTGGAATAGATTTATACGTAGTGATATGGTGAATTAGGGATTTTTCTTTTGCCTGTGTTACTTTTGATTATCTTTTCTGTTATAACCGATTTATTTGGGCTATCTTTTTTCAACTACTCTAGAAAGACGATGCTCGTCTACGGGGACTTGCTTCTATCCAATACTTGTTATGCTGTCTATCTGCCACTCGTCCGGTTTCATGCCCCCTTGCAGTCTGTTGTTCCCGTCTGATGGTCCCCTTTCATCTCTTCCTCCAATCCTGGTTTCATCGGTCGTCATTCCGGCCATCTGATAATCCCCTGTCGTCTAATGTTATCCCTTCTGATCACCCCTGCCATGTGTACGCCCGTCTGACGAATCTCGTCCCGCCCCTCTCCGCAGGCGATCGCGGCGCGCGACACTCTGGCCAAGTGCGTGTACGCGGCGCTGTTCGACTGGATCGTGCTGCAGGTCAACAGCTGGCTGCTGGCCAAAAAGGACGTCAGCCGAGAGCACCACGGGCCCTCCATCGGCGTGCTGGACATCTTCGGCTTCGAGGACTTCGGCAACATCAACAGGTGAGCGCATCGGGTAGTTGGAGAGATAGGAGGTCGGCAGGCCGGCCGGGTCCGGACGGGAAGTGAGGCCAGCAGGCCAGCTGCTGGGTCCGTACGAAATGGACGGCGCTTGTTTGACGAGGACGTGCTAACGACAGAATACCAGCTGGCAGTTCGGCTATGCGACAGGTGTTGCCCTCGCTTTAGATGTCCTAGAATATTTGGAATGGGAACTGTAGGTATGCCAAATGACGTCCCGACTTGTTCCGATAGGCTGTTCCCCGTTTCTTTGTCCCTCTTTGGAATAGGTGAGAAGGTGTTCGTTTATTGGTAGAAAACAAACTGAGTCTTTTAAAAACTTAAATAAAATATCACTAGGGAAATCGGCATACATTATGTTGAAGATTATAACGCGGCGTAACTCGTACACGGTTAGGGGCCTTTCCTGGGTGCCACAACACCGTTGCCCTTCCAGAGGCCTCCCTGGATCACCCACCACCCTTCCAGGCGCCCTCCCTGGGTACCCCGCCGCTGGCTGCTCCGGTCGGCTGCGCCCGGTGCCCCGCCGCCACCCTGTGCCAATCGCGAAAGGTCGCCAGCTTTGGAGCCACGTGGCCGGTGCGGTTTTTGGCGCCGCCCGGCCGGTGATTCAGCCTCACCCATCATACGAGCTGAGCGGGGCGGCAATCAAAACACGCGCACGGCACGCACCCGGCTTGTGGGCAGGGTGCGGTGCGGGGCGCCCCTCCTCGGTCACGGGCTGGGGAGGGGTTCAGCGGTGGACTGACTCGGCCAGGTTCCAGGAGAGGCTTACTGTCGAGACGGAACTGCTAGATGGGGTGTCATGTTCTGGCCGATTGTTCTTGCTCGTTGCATGACTGTGGCTCAAAGTTGGCGCCTGTGATTCAATAATCAGCTTACTAAGTCAGGTGATATCCATTCAGGTCTGTGTCAGAACAAGTGGATATTTTGGCACCAGAGTTATTGTACGTTTCATGTATTTGCTGTCGCGTTGGACTTACGAGGCGTGTTTGTCGTCCAGTTTCGAGCAGTTCTGCATCAACTACGCAAACGAGCACCTGCAGTTCTACTTCAACCAGCACGTGTTCAAGTACGAACAGGAGGAGTATCTGCGGGAGGGTATCCGCTGGCAGAACATCGCCTTCGCCGACAACACCGGCTGCCTGCAGCTGTTCGAGAACAAGATGCGCGGCCTGCTCAGCATCCTGGACGACCAGTGCAAGTGAGTGAGCCTGGGTGGCGGGGAAGACATGGAGGATGGGAGAGGGGATCAAAATAAGTTATATTCAAATAAAATCCGCGATTGCTGAGGGTCAGGGACACCAGCAGCTAGACAAGACGGACTGGAACGAGGTAAAAATGGACAAAGTGGATTGGTGAATGAAGGCCTACTTGATGGAGGCCGGGCGGCGTCAGGGCTTTGGTGGAACTAGTGCGTAAAAGAATAGACAGCCGCCGCGGAGCGTTAGGATGAGCAATGGTAGCACTGCTTCTACTCTCCGCGCTGAATAGAATACTGCCTTGTGTCAGTGCTGTAAATCACCGTAAATGTAGATGTAGAGAGGTCACGTCTGAATGTGAACCTCGGTGCGTTTTCCAAGCGGCGTGGGATGTCCGGCTGCCTAAGCGGTGAGTCGAGGATCATCACGGCCTTTCACCTTTCGTCGTCGGCACTTGCTCTTATGACACTCGCACGGTTGTGCACGTTTGTTTACACAGCACAGTCTGAACGTTGGTGGCACGTGTGAACGTTGCCGACACGGGGCTATGGCTGTCACGGCTGACTCCACCACCTCTCCGTACGATGGGCCGTGTCGAACTGTGTGATGATCGGTTGCCTTCAGTCACTGTTTTATGAGAGCCTAAATGTATCAAAGTCTTATCCACTGGAAATGACTGAGAATGACCGCGGATCCGCTCTGCAGCTTCCCGGGCGCTACGAATGAGACGCTGCTGCAGAAGTTCCATAAGGAGAACAAGAACAACGAGTTCTACGAGGTGCCGCAGAAGTTCGAGCATGCCTTCCTCATCCACCACTACGCCGGCAAAGTCAAGTACCAGGTGAGCAGCAGCAGTGTCGACTTATGCTGCCTTTTTAACAGGAGTGCGTGATCAGTATTGGATAATCTTATGAGCTTTCGGAAAAGTTAATCTCTTCATATCAGCTTGGCTTTTTCGCCAGTTGTTTGAGGGATGCCAGAAGAATGCCACTTGTCCTTGCTATCAATCTGTTTTAGCAGTTTTTTTTTTTTTGCAATTTGGGGGAGATGTTTTGGGTCATTTGTACATTACTGCTCGGCCACCCATACGCATTAGTCCCTGTCTGTGTTATTCATGAAAACAATATTTTGCCAACATTCCCAGTTGGTTATCTTTTGTCCTGGTTCAGTGACGATGCCAGTGTTGAATTATTGTTGAATTAGTGATAGTCTGTTAGGGTACCCTGTGTATCCATGTGTTGCTGGTCGATGAGTTACGATGTCGCCAGACTGCCCTCTATCTTTCTCGTTGACCCGGTGACCGATGATTCATTGTCGTGTGTCGTCAGCCGAGCCGATACATCAATGTCTAACCCACGGCGTCTGTCACTGATTCTCATGGCTGCGTGCTTCGTTCGCACATCCACTGGTGCTCCCGTAGTCACATTTGCCACATTTCCTGAGACTTTATTGCAACATCGGAGGCTCCTCCTCCCTCTAAATCATGTATCTTTGCTCTCTGTCACCCATACCCCTCCCCAAGCATAACTCGCCGCTACCGCCCACCTGACTACCCCCCCCCCCCATCCCCAGGTGGCCGAGTTCCGCGAGAAGAACCTGGACCTGATGCGGCCCGACATCGTGTCCGTGCTCAAGTCGTCGAGCCTGCAGTTCGTCCGAGAGCTGGTCGGCACCGACCCGGTGGCCGTGTTCCGCTGGGCCATCCTGCGCGCCTTCTTCCGCGCGCACAGCGCCTTCGTGCAGGCAGGCGCGCGCGCCGCCGCCAGCGCCGCCAACGGACCCGGCCGCAAGCTCAGCTTCCGCAAACCGCCGGCCGGCGGCGCGCCGGAGCCGGGCAGTGTCGGGTGAGTGACTGCAGATACCTATGAACTGGCTTTGTTTTGCGTTGTTTGGGCTATTTTTAGTTGGTTTTGCTGCGAATTTGGGCTTTTTCTGAGGAGGGCTCAGTGTCGCCGTGTGTCGCGGATGGCCCGCCTCTGGGGTGACCCCGCAGCAGCTGTGTTCCCGCGTGTGGGTGACCCCCTGTTCGCGGGTATGGTTTTCCCTCTCAGTATGACTTGACCCCGCCTAGGTACTGCCGTGCCCTGACAGGCTGTCAGGATATGGCGCTCAACCGCTGACCGCCCCGCTGTGTGGTGCTGTGCCGTGACCCAGAGATATGAGCGGGCTTTACCCCCGAGATCATCACTCGCTTACCTTTATTCGGATTCGGATCCTTATCCTTACTGAACGTGTCCTCGTTTTTGACGCATTGACCCGAGACCCTCAATCCTTGGAACACGACGATCCTCTCACTCATCCTGAAGCTCCGGGTGTGCGCGGGGACTGCACAGGTGTCTATTGTTGTCCCAGCGACCATGACTCAAATACCCATTGTCGTATGCTAGATTCCTTACACGTCACAGCTGTGCTGCTGAATCGTCCATCCCCGGTATGCTCTGTTCTATCTGGGTGCGACTTGAAGGTGGCTATTATGTGACGCAATGTTGTATGTTTTGCTGTAATTGGTCGTACTATGCTATGCTGTTGCTGTTGTGATCTGTGGGAGTCAGGTGCGCGTACAGATGTTGTCCATCGCATTCATATCCCTTCCCCTTCACCATCCTCTCCCATCCACGCTCTCAGTGGAGAGAGAGAGAGGGGTATTCCACTGACCGGATCAGTACCGTCCAATACTCTCCCCAGTGTATCACTGTAGGTCCGCTCGGATCCTCGCCGTCCCGGCCTCCATACACCCCAGCCAGCTGGCAAACTGTAGCGCTGCTACCACTGACCCGGCTTCCTCGATATTAGTATGTCTCGCTAACAGTTGGCTTTGTCAGCGTTTTGGGCTTGCCATACAGCGTTTGATAGGAAATGTAGTCGATAGTGTACACGGTTTTTGCTGACATTTTTACACAACACTGTCACCGCTAGGCTATTACATCCGCCCTGCAACCAACCTGTGTCTGTCTACAGCTAATGTGCCGTCTCTAGGCATCCCCACATACACAAACTCACATACACAATACACGTCATACGCATAGATTGAGTGAAAGTGGTCCCCGCTTGGCATAGTTTGCCCTTGCAAATAACCTAGCGCACAGTGGACACACTGATCGGTTTACCGTATGTGTTAGTACATTGGCCTGTGTGGTGTGTGTGTGCTTACGTCACCGGATCAGTCTGGCCTGGTGACGTCACCTTGTGATGGGGTAATTACGCCATCGCTGACTGGTCCAGGTAGAATAATCAATCAACTCGGGGTGTGAAATCATGAAATCAGTGTAACGTCTGTTTGGTGTGTCGGCTTGTTTCGGTGTTCGCTGTGCCTCCCCGAGCTGTGGTCACTGGGGGGCGGCGGTGGCGTACTTACTCTCTGCCACGGAGCACACACGCGGCGTGTCGGCCGTCTCTGACCGCCGCGCCGCCTCCCGCTCTGCCCGCCCGCCCCCGCGCTCTCTCTCCGCCAGCCAGCGACTGGCCACCCTGTCGGCCGTGAACCTGCGCGTTCAGCGTATCGCGTGAGTGTCGGCGGCGGGCGCCGACTGCTGCCGCCCTAACCCGGCCGCGCCGCCGGCGGACCGGCGAGTGGTAGTGACTCCACTAACAGCTCGAACTGCCCGCCGACCCCGCCCACGCCCCCGCCCGGACCTGTCCCCGGCTCCCGTCTTCGCAGTTGGCTCTGTCTCTCTTTGTGTGTCGCTTTACGGGCCGTATGGACCGGGCGCGGCGGCCGTCGCCGCGGCACTCGGTCGAACGGTTCGCGCATGGCTCAGCTCAGACGGGATCGCATCAGGAACGGTCGTCTTGCTTGTTGCCCGACGTTCCATGGACATTGAGGAATTCACGAAATTCTTAACCGCATGCCTGCACCTTATCTCGGCTAATATTTGTCTCTAAATCCGACCGTCTCTGTCTGTCTGAGCTTGCCACCCGTGCGTTGCCGTTCGGCCGTTTTGCCGTGGCCGGCCGGTCGCCGCGCCGCCGGCCGCCTCTGTGCCGTGTGCTGAGCGGGCGGGGTGTGTGCTGCCGCGCGCGCAGGCCGGCCGCTGCCGCTGCCGCCGGGGGTCGCCGATGGAGCACGGTCAGCGAGTGCAGGGCTCAGCTGCGCAGCGCCGCGCTGGGCCGCCGGCCGCGCGCCGACTCGGAGGGCGTGGCCGCCGGCCTGCCTGCCGACGAGCTGCTGCTCAGAGAGGCGCAGGACATTGTCCGGTGAGTGAGGCACCGCCGACGGCGCGCCGGTCTGGGAGTTGTGGGAGGGCAGCGCCGGGGGGACTACTGCAGGGACCGTGGTCATAAGAGGGTCACTGTCGGGCAGCTAGGCCAGGGTAGCCGGCGGTGTACGTCGTGTGCGCTGGTGGAAGGTCCCACTGAAAGATGACTATGTTAAATATGCGCAACGGGCGCACTTTCCACTCTGGTAAGTAAGGGTTGAACTAAGACCGGCGACTATCATATGTAGAACTGCTCGGTAACCCACGTACGGCACACTCGAGCAGTGACCACGTCACGGTAAGTGAAACTGTAGAACTGAAGTGTCGTAGCCACGCTAGTGAGAGAATAGCTGGTAGCTCAATGGGCTTATGGAGGTATAGGGTAAGGGCGGGTAAGAGTACGCGGGCGATAAGAGTACGCATCAGCTGTTTCGGTTGCTTAGCAACGCGGGTTTGTCGAGTTCATGAAGTGACATGAAGCCGCCAGTGCGTGCATGTCACCAACGGAACGTGGGCGTTGAGCGGCGACGCTGTTGAGTTTAAGGCGATGAATATTATTTTCGAGCGCTATGATATTATTATGATATGGTACAATAATTTTGATACTTGGCAGTTGAGATGAGGTACATTTCCGTGATTGTTGTGGGAAACTTGTGAGGTTATCTGGGGAAATACTGTACAGTGCAATATTCTGTTTGCGAAGTTTTGCACAACGTTTCGGGATTGTTTTGTGCGCGAATTGCATGTACGGTAAGAGGACGCACTGTTCAGGAGGGTAAGAGTACGCAGAATTATACATTAAATCGAATATGCAGAAATATATAATTATTAATCTATCGCTCAATGACGTTTGTTTTGTAGGTATATCATCAATGGAGCACTGTGATGCAGATGCGTATCCGAAATTCTTCCAAATACGAGTTATTCTCCTTTTTGATTGTGCATTTTTTTAAAGAAACACACGACATGATTATTTCCTGATTTATAGACTTGAAAGATTTATTTTATATTTTTCTTTTGGGATACTAGAATTAACTTAAATGCCTTCTGAGTTTGAAGTTAAGCATTTGGACAATGCAAGCTGCATAGGTGTGTGTTCATATGCTTGCGTACTCCACCCGCCTGGCGTGCGTACTCTTACACACCCCATATGGTAAGAGTACGCAAGTGCAACGGTTCAGAAAATGTCAGTTTTAGACCACTTCCATTTACGCTGAAGGATCGTTGCCCCATGGGTTGATGGCTAATTCAATGAACTTTAATATTCCCTATTTGCGATTTCTTTCCTTCAAATATTAAACAAATGAGAGCAAGAAATCCACTAAGTGCGTACTCTTATACGACTTCACCCTAAATCTGAGATGGGTTGCGCTGTGGCCGGTAGACGGTCAAGGAAGCTGATTTCGGCGTCATAGACCAGGTGCTTGCAGCTCGGTTCTAGCTGGTAGTGAGGGAAGAAGATCGACCGAAGTAGAGCGTATGCAGGCCGCCCCGCATTTCTATCAGCGACTTAGTTCTTTTTAGTAGATTTAGCCTAGTTCTTTCAGCATCCATCGACGTCTGCCATTAGACTCGTCTCTGATCAGTTAAACAGATCGTCCAGTAATTTGCTCGTATGCATGAGCCTTTTTGAATGAGCTGATAATCCATGAACGTTGAATATATAGCACGGTCTGCCATTCAATTGCATCACGAACTTGTCATTTAATGAGCTGCAAGTACTTGCACGAACTGTCCGATGGACGTTTTGGAATAACTGAAGATCAAAAAGTCTGCATGAAATGTCAATGTTTTGTCTCGTCCGTTACTTGTTTCTATGATGTCCCATAACGTAAACACTTGTTTATTCCAGACCATTGCAAAGTGAATAATTTTATAGCGTTATCAGCAGTTCCCAGTGATTCGATAAGTCACCTCCCCATTTTAGCCGAGCCCGGCCAGCTCTGTAGCGAGCAGCGGCCACCACCGCTCCCCAGTCCGCCCTGCCATCGCTGACCGACACCATCCGATTGCAGTAAGAACAAGTCGTTCCGGCCCCGTGGCCGCACGCCGCCCAAGAGCGTCAAGAGCCTGGAGGGGATGCGCACGGTGGCGGGCTCTGGCCAGGGCGGCGGCAAAGGTCACGGCTCACGCAAACAGCCGAGCACGGTGACGGCCCAGTTCCAGCAGAGCCTGCAGAGCCTGCTGGTGACGCTCAACCAGGCCAACCCCTTCTTCATCCGCTGCATCAAGTCCAACCTGCAGAAGGTGAGCTCCCCTGATGAGTAGGGGTACGAGGGGTGCAGAGGACAGGAGCGAGCACATAAATGTCGGCTGATGTGAGGTAAACCATTGCCTCTGCTTCCAAGCTCTGTCAGCACAAAGCTAAATGTCTTAAATGAGGTGATGCAAACCATGACGCAACCATGTAACCGAGCTAATTCCCACTGTTAGTCACCTTATGAGCCCTTTTGTAACCCTCCCTCACCCCGAGCCCGTCTGTATTGCGCCCCATCCTTGGCGCGCACGAAGCCCAAACACCCGCCGTTCCGCCAGGACCCGAACCGGTTCGATGACGCCACGGTGAGCCGCCAGCTGCGCTACACGGGCATGCTGGAGACGGTGCGGATCCGCCAGTGCGGCTACAACATCCGCTTCACGTACGAGGAGTTCATCCAGATGTACCACATCCTGCTGCCGCGCGGGCTGCTCAGGTGAGCTGGCGGTCACGGGTCACTGCTGGTGACGGACAAGGAGGGGGTTGGGTTGCGTTGCGGATCGGGAGGAACTCGATAGGGGTGGGCCGCGAGGGTGGGAAGATACATAGAGTCTTGTCCTTATTTTGTTTGTTTGTCGTCACCTTAGCTGGTCAAGACTACGCTAGCCCACCGTCAATAGTCCGAGCCGTGTGCCTGCTATACCATTCACTGACCTCCCTTCATGCACAACTATCAGTCGGTGTTTGCAGTGTCCCCACTGACCGCCCCTGTCCCGCCCTCTGTGGACGCAGCTCCCAGTCGGTGTCTGCAGTGTCCCCACTGACCGCCCCTGTCTTGCCCTCTGTGGACGCAGCTCCCAGTCGGAGGTGGCCGAGCTTCTGGCCGACTCCCCACTGACCGACCATCTGTCCCGCCCTCTGCGCGCAGCTCCCAGTCGGACGTGGCCGAGTTTCTGGCCGAGCTCTGTCCCCACTGACCGCACCGCCCCCTGTCCCGCCCTCTGCGCGCAGCTCCCAGTCGGACGTGGCCGAGTTTCTGGCCGAGCTCGGTCTGGGCGAGGACCACCTGCAGCTGGGCAGCACCAAGCTGTTTCTGCGCGAGTCGGTCAAGGTGCAGCTGGACCACGGCCTGCACCAGGCCATCCTGCGTCAGGTGGTGGTGATCCAGCGCTGGTTCCGCACCGTCTCCGAGCGGCGACACTTCCTGCGCGTCCGCTCGGCCGCCGTCCGCATCCAGGTAGGGAGGGGGAGAGGATACGAGGGACAGGGCTGGGACGGGATGTGGGGAGGGAGGAAGAGGGACAGAGAGGGAGGGAGGGGACTGGGGAGGTGTGATCACTGGTGAACGGGAAGGAGCGACATGACTGGCGCAGAGTAAGATGACGGAGGAGAGAAGGGTTTCTGGGAACTGACTAGGGAGGGTGTTGTAGTTATGCAGTTTCTCGCCCTGACTCGCTTACAGCTTGTCTTCAGTGTCCTGCATGTGGGTGGGGATGGAGAGAGCAACCTGCTTGGCGCGGACGGCTTGTTTAAGAATGACACGGTCCAATCGCGCCCACCTTTGCTGACCTTCCTTCCCCCGTCCGTTCGGCAGGCCCAGGTGCGCGGCTTCCTGGCTCAGCGGCTCTACCAGAACCTGCGCGTGCGCCACATGGCGGCCACGCTGATCCAGAAGATGTGGCGCGGCTACGAGGTGCGGCTCTGGTACACCAGTCTGCGCCGCAGCCTCGTCCACTTCCAGGTGAGCCCGGCTGGGCGGACAGACGTAGCAGCGGACTACGGTACAGGCATCGACAGAACTGGGTCGGTGGTCATTGAGTGAGGTGTCAACGCCAATATGATGATTTTTTGGTTAGGCCCTTTCAATCTGACGAGACCATTTCAGAGCCGAAAGGATGAAAGGAATTAGGGGGAGATATTGGTCTGGGCGGGCACCCTAGTGAGTCACCGGGGCTGAGCCCATCACGTGGACAGGCCACCCAGCCCCCTGACATTCACTGCACCCGGCTACGGGCGTGCTCCTATGAGAGCTTCTCGCTTGGGATCAAGTTGCCCATCCAGCCCGGAGCAGGGGGCTGATGCGTGGATGAGAATGATTTGAATGTTTTGACTTCTGAGGATGGAAACGACGGATTTGTGATGAGGTCGAGTTGCTAGTGCCCGTTTTAACACTATGATACGGCTAGACGATTTCGTTATGACCAATCCTGAATGGACCATTACCAAATTGGATACAGCACGTTTCGATGTGCCTATATCCCCGCGTGCCGTGACAGATGTTGTCTGTTTGGTGTGTCTCCACCCTGAGCTGACCTGTCTGTCTGCCTCCGACAGGCGCGGGTGCGCGGTAACAGCACGCGGCGCCGGTTCGCCGCCGCCCGTCAGGAGTACCGGCAGCGCAAGGCCAGCGGTCACACCTCTGAGGTAGGTGCTCCGGTCGGCGCGTAGGCCAACAGAACAGGGTCGGCTGTCAGGCCTGCGGTCAGACCTCCTGCTAGGGGCAGTGGGCCAACAGTCAGGCCTGGGTATACTTGTCACGTGTCTTGACTGAAAAGCAACCTTTTATTATCATTATTCTGTAGTTAAGACATTACATCGAGGTAGTTGAAAATAATTCCTGTGCAACGCTGTCCATTTCCAAGGGTTATGACGTAATCTCATGGACGCTTTTGATCGATGAGCGCGTTGGGGTCCTTGTTATTGCGTCTCTGTCTTTCACCTCACGCACCTGTACGTGGGTGCGGTGCCGCCGTCTGACCACGTCCCCTCTCGCGCAGTCGTCGCTCGACATCTACGGCGTGGACAAGTCGGCGCCGGACGAGGCGTTTCTATCCAAGGAGTCGTCCCAGGAGGAGCTGGATGAGCGGACGGGGCCTTTCCCGGCCGAGGCCCAGCGGCGACACCGCGACAGCGAGGAGTGAGTGACGGCGGGACGGAGGGGAGACCGGGCGCTGTCTTATAGTCGGACTACAAAACAGTTTAGAGGGATGAACAGATGGATACTATGTTCCCTGGCAGGCCACGAACTGAAGAAGGAGTTACAGAGTAGATTACTGCCCCTAGCTGGTGGAACATCAAATACGACTAGAGGTTTTCAAATTCATCATGCATCTTAAGCCAGGGCTTTCCTTTTGCGCTTTTCCCATAAAGTACCGTAGTTCTTCGTATGCTAGAGCTTGTCGTACTGCTCTGCTGTCGCTCGGAGTCGTTAGTTATCTGGCTGCCGCCTGCTCTGTCGACTGCGCTTGGCTATGGCTTGTGCACGCGCGCTCGGCCGCGGTGTCAGCCGACTGCGGCGGTCGGCCGGGCGCTGACGCCGCGCGCTGCGGCCGCCTCCCCGCAGGAGCAGCGGCGTGCACGAGGACAGCGAGCCAGAGTCATCACAGCACTCGGAGACGCACGCAGCCGGCGCGCCGCCGCCCCCGCCGCCGCCTCCGCCCCCTCCGCCGCCCCCGCCGCAGCAGCAGCAGCAGCAGTCGCAGCAGCAGCAGCAGCAGCAGCAGCAGCAGCTCAGCCAGCAGCAGAGGGAAAGGTAGGACGGCGGGGAGCGGTGCATGGCTGAGGTAGTAGGCGGTCCCCAGCTGCCATGCTAGCTGCAAGTCGGGTAGAATATAAGGAAAGTCCCGGGCTGTCATTATTGGGTCGGGTTGCTTCACTGCCTGTTAGCATGTTGGTGCTTGTCCCGAATTTAAAGCGTCCTCTAAATAAGTATCTTGTGAAGTGTAGAAGATACTTTCTAATACGTATATGATATACGTTGCATGAATATTACTGTTATTTTTACGATAGTCAACTTTCTCATAGAACTGCCGCGCAATTTTAAGTTCTTATTTTATGTCCGTGGTCAAAGTTTTCAAGTAGTGTTTTAACTATATCAATGTCCTGCATTTTCTAGATACCTCAAGTATCCTAGAAAGGCTGTCGTAACTGCATTACGAAAACATGAGTAAGCGTTTGTGGTCGTTTTTTCTTTTCGCTGATAACAGCTTTTGAATACTTCTTTTTACGTTTCTTTTTCGCTCCTAACTAATCAATAAAAAGATGCTTGTGTAATGAATAATGCGTGTAAAATAACTGATGAAACATGTGTGCGATTAAGGTAGCGGTAATCATTAAACGGCATTTTATTTTCTAGCCTGTGTTATATTATAACAATCGAACAATAGCTCACCATATCATACGTTTCCAACTGCTTGTGTGATAAGCGGAACGTAGTCCCATTGTTTTCGACATTTTTTTCTGCAATGGGTATTTCGAGTGATATTTTGTTAATTTCTTAATTTCGAAATGACATCCTAGTGTGTATTCGTTGTCCAACGCCACCCCGGTCGTCCCCTGCCCTTCCTCGCTCACCCAGCTCGTTGGCTGTCATATGTACCAACGAGTTGGCTTACCAGTTGGCTGTCATACGAGTGTCAGCTCGTATGTACCAACGCTGAGCGTTTCTCAGCTCCTCTGGGTGTGTACGCCCTCGCTGCCGCCCCAGCGAAGTCCCCGGCTCCTCTGCCCCATCCCACTCGCCTACCTCGCTGACTGTCCGCTGACTCCCGTCCCCTCTACCCGCTGTTCTGGCAGGCCGGCACCGCCGCCGCGTCGCCAGGACAAGCGTTCGACGGTGCGGCGCAGCTGGTCGACCCAGTCTGAGCACCCGGCCGCGCGGCCCACCAGTGTGCCGCTCCAGGAGAAGGCCGCCACCGTGGAGAACGTGGCCGCAGGTACGGACAAGGGCGGGGCAGGGGAGGGGGAGAAGACGCAGGTACAGTCTGTGGGGAGGTCGGACAGAACGGCTGCCCAGCAGGGTGAGGCTCCGGACGGTGGGTAAGAGAGAGTGGGAGGTGAGCATGGCTCCATATTGGACTCCGGATGTCAGGCTGGGGGTCGCGTTGGACAGGGCATTTGCCGGTGTGTAATTTGAATAGCTGGGTAGGTACGGGCGTGCTAAAGGCTGAGTTTAGTGCTACTTGCTTGAGTAGTGTGTCACCCTGTATTCCAGTCATGCATTGGCGACGAATATCCAAAATGACAGCTGCATGTTATCTGGATAGTTCATTCGTGTTTCAACACTAGCTGAAACTTTGCAGCATTGTATCCTTTTGCTATATCTTGATAAATGCCATTAGCTAGGTGCAGACTCGTCTTTTTTCACCAGCTGTCTAATCCCACCCCATCTCTCTGTGCGCTCCCTCCTTTCACCCACTCTCCCACTTCTCTTCATTTCTCTTTACATCTTCCTCTTCTCCCCTCCTCTCTATTACTCCGTCCCTACCCTAATTTCGCCACCCTCGCCCTTCCTTCCCACTCTCCACCCACCCACACCTCCGCACGTCTGCCATGCTCGTACATTTGCGCCCGCACCTGTCGACCTGCACGACTGCCCGTCGGTGCTCCCACAGACGCCCGCCTCAGCCCCGTAGAGAGTCCCCTAGAGCCGGCGCCACCCCAGCAGCTCAAGACGCCCGACTCCGACTCGGGACCCGTCAGCTCGCGAACGCCCTTCAACCGAGCCAAAAAACACATCAAGTCCATCATAGGTAACGTCGGGTGCTGAGTGCGAGAGCATGTCAGAAAGGTTTCCTAGTGTGGGATTTACAGGTACTTCGTGGTTTTCCTTTGTGGCCTACATTATGATTTCTTGTGTACGCTTTTGTTTCGACTCGTGTCTTCGGAGGATAAAGGAGCGCTGATGGCAGTTGCAGCTGAGACGCCCAATATCTCAAAATATTGTAATTTCTGTCGGTAAAGATATTAGTTTCCATGATACTGCTTCTGTAAGTCAGACTTTCACATCTATTTAAAACCATGACCGGCGCTGTGCCCTTCCACCTCTCACCGACCCCTCCCCGCCCTCCCTTTTCGGCAGTGGGCGCCAAGAAGCCCCCGGGCGGCGGCGGCGGCGGAGGCGGGGGCGGCGGTCCGGCGACCCCGGACAGCGACGACTCGGACACGGAGGGTACGCTGACACTGGGCTCGTCGTCACGCTCCACCACGCCGTCTGTTTCGACACTGAACTCCCTGGCCAGCCTGACGAGCGCGCACAGCGCCGACGAGGCGCGCACCCGCGAGCAGCGCCGGGAGGACCGGCGGCGGATCATCGCGCAGCGCGAGCTGGCGCGCGGCGGGTGAGTCCGAGGGGCAGGGGAGAGACGAGCGGGGCAGAGAGAGTAGGAGATGTGGGGGAGGGAGGGCAGGGAGGAGAGAAAGATGGGGGGGAACCGGCAGGCCGGGTGGAGAAGAAGACGGCATTCAGTGTATTCTTTAGTCGTTCGATCAGGCTGTATGTTGATTTGTAACCAGAACATTGTTTTGACTGATTTTGATGTGTGTGTGCCGAACAACCTGAATTATTGATTTAGGCTGTGACGCTCTCCGTGTGATCTATTACACCCCGCTGTGGTGTGCTGCCCCACTTCATTCCGTGTCGTGCGTCTCCCCCGGCGACGCGTCGGAGCACCCTGCGCTGCCCTACCTCACTGTACCCTGCTCTGTCTTCCCTCAGCGGCGCGTCGGAGCACCCGGCGGTGCTGGACCCGCGGCGGGACAGCGTGTGCAGCTACCCGGCTCCCTACCGGCGGCTGGAGAAGATGGACTCGACCTCATCGGGCGTGTCGGAGGAGGAGCAGCGGCGGCGCTCCTCCATCAGGTAGGAGTCGGAACGGGACCGGGGCGGGATTGGACCGCAGATCAGACGCGGACGGACCGGATACGACAGGCACTGACCATGTGGAGTCAACTTTGTGAGATCGCATTGGTTTCGGGCGCTGAAATGTTGAGTGGTAATCTGTCCCTAATTAGCTCAATGTCGCGATGTCAGCTAACGTTATTGCAAGGGAATTTTTTCATTGTATTTTTAACACGTTTTCACTAGCGTTTTATCTGTTGTGGCGGCCAGTTTCGCCCAGCCTCCGGCCGTGTCCCCACGCCCTGGTCACCTCCCTCTCATACGTCTCCCCAGGTCGTATAACGTGGAGACGCCCCGCTCGGAGGAGGACCGGCTGCGCGCGCGGCTGGCCCACCAGCGCAGCGCGTCGGCCGACCGGGACGCCAAGGCCAGCACGCACCACTTCCAGCGCGCCACCAAAGTGCCCAAGACAGAGACGTGCCTCCAGTGCCAGAAGCCCTTCACCTCGCTCTTTGTGCAGGGCTACAAGTGTTCATGTGAGTTGACGAGCTTAGTGAAGTGATCTGCTTTTTTTTTCTCCTCGAGGAGCTTCCAACCCTCAACATTATCGAAAACGCTAAAAAATGTTGTGAAGGACAGCTGTCTTAAATGATTCTGTCTTACTCAATAATCGATCGATTCTGGAAATCCACCGTCTATGTATCCCCTCTTGTCTCAGCCACCTGACCGTCTCTGACCGCGGCCTGTGTGCTCTGTCCGGCAGTTTGTAAACATTACTTCCACCCCAAGTGTGTACAAGCGGCGGCCAACTGCCTCTGCGACCGCGAACAGGGCCTCGAGATGGACGGCCGGAAAAAGAAGGCTGGTCGATGGAAGATGCACGGCACCTCCGAGTTTACCGACCGAGAGGATAAGGTCATCTCGGACGCCGCCGAGGTCAAACAGCTCGAGGAGTTCATCTTCAACAAGGTGGGTGAGGTGCTCTCCAGCTGCTAGGTAGGAGTGGCGAGGCTCGGAGTCAGCTGTGGCGGGGAGGAGTCCGCGGGCAGATCAGCTGCTGGTGGGAGCGATATGGATGACTCTCAGGGCCACCATCCACGTATAGTGGCAACAGAGTGGCGGTGCGTAGAGTCGCATTGATAATTTACTACACATTTGACTTGGTAGCTACATTGCTTCGATTGACAGAGGGGAAACATATTAACATGACCTACACTTTCGTTAGTTCAAATGATAGTTGAGTCTGCCATATTTTGCTGTGTATTTTCAGTAGACGCCTCCCTTCTGAAGCCCTCTTCTCTTTCTCATTCCCCCCTTCCTCCCCCGTCAGATCGCCGAGCTGGACAGCCGGTCGGGCGGCGACTCGAAGAAGGTTGTCTCGTCGGCCGACCGTGTGTTCCAGAAGGCGCTCAAACAGTTCCGCATGACGCTACTCACCCAGCACGGACTGTCGCAGCGCGGCGACGGCGCCCTACCGCTCGGCATCAAGTACCGCGACCTCATCGACACATTCACCAGCGTGAGTGACGCGCGTGCGCCCGCAGCTGAGTGCCAGGAGCGGAGAGTGCCGGGAGTATCTTTGTCTCTCGCCCCTGGGCTACGGCGGTGAAAGGGGTCCTAGGCGTCTGGTAACGCTATAAGGAGAGGGGACGAGAGGATTTTTTTTTTTTTTTTTGGTAACTGCTTTAGAAGTGACGGTTTGTGAACTGAGTGATGTTTAAAAGCTGGGTACAGTCATGTGCGGGAAGTGTCGGCTTCCCAATATCGATTGTTGATTGTCGGTTCATCGTGGTTTGTTTTGTAACTATCGACTGTTTCGTGCTTTATTTGTGACGAAAGAATGACAGAAATGTAGCAGCTCATTGTTGACAATAATTAAGTCCTTCTTTTTATTGTTGCATGATACGTTTAATTAAATAGACCGTGTCGTAATGTCATGTTCATTTCGTCACTAGCATCTGGTTGTGTTGAAATGAACTGTCTCACTTCACGGTCCACATCTGTCTATCGATGTCACTGTGATTGCCCCACGCTCGTTACACTTCAGCAGCTGGTGCCGGTGGCTCTGCTCAGACCGGTCTAACCGTCCCCCGCCCCGCGGTCCCTCAGATAATGGCGTCGGTGATCGGCGACCAGCGCGAGAGCGCAGAGTTTCCGGCCACCATGGGCGTCAACGCGTTCCGCGGCTACCTCGACGAGTTCCTGCTCACACTGGATGACAAGCCGCGCGCCAAGAAACACAAACGCAACCGGCGACAGGCCAAAAAGAAAAAGGAAAAGGTACGCCGTGGAGGGGTGGGCAGATCGCAAGGTGGTAGCACGACCAGCTGACTGAGGTGAAAGGTATCATATTATTGACTCCTACCGAAAGATATGTTTTCATATAGTTACTTTAGAACATGAGGACTTGAAGGCGGCTTTACGACGGTCAGTTGATAAGTCAACAGGCTGTTTTTACACGTTTTCAATTCCCGATAATGAACAGGGCGGTACATTTTGACTAAATTATGTTTAGTGTCATCCTGGGCTCCATTGCCCCCGTGGTCGGTGCGGCCGCAGATGCGTGTCTAATGCGAGTATGACTGCCTTTGTCTGTTTGTGTATCTGTATCTATTCTGTATCTGCGTTCTCAGCGGGAGGAGGAGCTGTCCAGATACTCGGCTAGTCTCCATTCGTATGTATCTGTTTGTGTAATGTGTATCTGTATCTGCGTTTTCAGCGGGAGGAGGAGCCGGTTCAGATGCTGGGCCACAGTTTCCTCTCGATGGTGATCAACATCCCTACTGCGTGCGAGATCTGCTCCTCGTTCATGTGGCTCATGGAGAAGGGCTACGTGTGCCAAAACTGCAAGCTCACCTGTCACAAACGCTGCCAGTGCAAGGTACGACTGCCGCTCGCTCTGGCAGACTCTTAGGGAGCTGTTCAGTCGAGACGCGGCCATGTCGGGCCGCGTGATTCGGACAAAGACGCTGCAATTTTTCTGGAGTTAATGTTGAAAGGAGAACCGGAGCCGGTAGTTTAAATTCATAGTTTTTTTTTTGCGTTATTTTATTATCAGATGGGTGAGGTTGTCCATCCCTCTCCCTCTCACCGCGGCTGCTCCGTCCCCTCTGACCGTCCTCTCTGACCGCCTCGCCCCTGGTCTCAGGTGGTGATCAACTGCACGCGCGAGGCGGCGGCGGCGGCCCAGTGCGCGCCGCCCGACCGGCGCGTGTTCGGCGTGCCGCTGCCACTGCTGATGACGGACGGCCGGGTGCCGGCCGTGCTGGAGAAGCTCATCAGTACGCTGGAGCTGCGCGGCCTCTACACCGAGGGCCTGTACAGAAAGTCGGGCGTCAGCCGGCGCGTCAAACACCTGCGTGACGAGCTGGAGGAGCACCTGGACGAGGTCGGTGACTCGGTGTGCTCAGTAGGTTAGGTTACCACTCACCACACGGATCATTAGAATTATATCGTAGATGCCGATGAAAACGTGAGCGCTATAGCTAGTGGTATGTAAACAATGCAACGGACGTCCCCGTTACTATGAACTGAGTGTGAGTGCCATTGTCATTGTATGTGCTCCTTTCAACACTCCGAGGCCCCGTCTGACCCGGCACTCTTCTCCTGCGGTCCTCAGGTGGACCTGGAGGAGGTGCCCATGCACGTGCTGGCCGCCACCTAACCTCCCCCCCCCCCCCCTGCGGTCCTCAGGTGTACCTGGAGGAGGTGCCCGTGCACGTGCTGGCCGCCAGCTGACGCCCCCCCCCCCCCTGCGGTCCTCAGGTGGACCTGGAGGAGGTGCCCGTGCACGTGCTGGCCGCCACGGTGAAGGCGTTCCTGCGCGAGCTGCCCGAGCCGCTGCTGACGTTCGCGCTGTACGACGACTTTCTGCGGGCGGTGAGCATCCGCGACCGTCAGGACCAGTCGCAGACGGTGTTCGCCATCATCGAGCAGCTGCCGGCGGCCAACTACCAGCTGCTCGAGCGGCTGCTCTTCCACCTGGCCCAGGTGGCGAGACAGGAGCACGACAACCGCATGAGCCCCAACGCGCTGGCCATCGTGTTCGCGCCCTGCATTCTGCGCACGGACCGCGCCATGGCCGCTCAGGTGGGTAGAGTGGCTGGAGAGAGAGAGAGAGAGGGGAGGAGGGGGAACAGCCTGCGCACGGACCGCGCCATGGCCGCTCAGGTGGGTAGAGTGGCGGGGGAGAGAGAGAGGGGAGGAGGGGGAACATCCTGCGCATGGACCGCGCCATGGCCGCCCAGGTAGGTGGAGTGGCGGGGGAGGGAGAGAGGAGAGGGTTCATCCTGCGCACGGACCGCGCCATGGCCGCTCAGGTGGGTAGAGTGGCGGGGGAGAGAGAGAGAGGAGGGGGGAACAGCCTGCGCACGGACTGCGCCATGGCCGCTCAGGTGGGTAGAGTGGCGGGGGGAGAGGAGGGGTAAGTCCAGCTGCCGCTGTGGCCGCTCAGGTGGGTACACAGCGGTGGGGAAAGGGGGTACTTGACGGAGAAGGAAGGAGGGCTGTAGGCTGTCGGGGACGAGAGGAGAACGTGTGTGCTTGGAGAAGTACTCGTGAGGTGTGTGCTCTGCAGTGTTATTGGATATCGTACGAATGGCATAGAAATAGAATAGAATGGGGAGGGGACAATCGGTTGTATTGTATAGGGGGTCGCGCGTCGGTGATCATTGCGTAATTATTGGTGCCCTATTTGTGACATGTTTCAGTGTACCTGGTTATTCGTTGTTTTGTTTTATCAATAACCACCCAAGTGCAACGTTTGACTAGCTTCTTAACAGCGCTGCCAGTGGTGTGTAGTTGCCGCCATATAGTCTGCGTTTGCCGCGGTATTGTCTGCCGGCCCGTGTCACTGACTGTTCTGTGTCTGTAGGACTCGCTGCACGATATCGCCGCTCAGACCCAGTGCGTCGAGCTGATGATCTGCGAGCGGCTGGCGCGACTGCGCACCACTCTGGCCGAAATTGTCACCCTGGAGGACGCGTGCCGTCGCGCGCAGACCCGACTGCGGCCCGAGAGCGAGCAGGCCGCCGAGCTGGAGCACTACCTGCGCGAGCTGCGCCACGAGCAGCGCCGGCTGGCGTCGGCGCTGCCGCGGCTGGCGGCCGGCGGCGCGCTCTCGGCCTCCGAGGACGAGCTGCTGGGGCCCGACTCGCGCGCCGGCTCGCAGGACGATCTGTCGGCGGCGTCGGCGGCGTCTCCGGCCGACAGCGGCGCCGGCACGCCGGCCTCCACCCCGGCCAGCACGCCGGCCGGCACTCCGGCCACCGGCGCGCCGCCGCCGCAAGGTGCGTCTCACAGGCACACAGTCGCAGCTCATAGTGCGGAGGGTGCCATTTGAACAATGAAGCCGGGCGAGATGGTGCGGGCTCCCGAGTTTTTTTTTTCTTGTTCTATGTTTCGCTCCAATGGTTTCTAATGTATTATTCTTTCGTAAAGTAAAGGAAGCATTGCTACAAATATGCTTGCGGGTTATTATTAGTTTATGTATCACCCATTTCCATGAAAGCAAATTGTGTGAAGATTTTAGTCATATTAGTTTGTTCCGATTCCCTATAAAAAGTATTCATCAGTGTTTTGTTGCTGGAGGCACTGCCTCATCTGTCCCGTACCGCCACTGACTTTCTTCCCCCTCCGACAGAATGGGTCTGACCGACGGCCGACTGGCCAATCACCGACCGGCCCGTGCCGTGACGTCACGCGACGCTGCGCCAATCGGCGCCGGCCCCACATGCTAGTCAACGAGTGCGCTAGTTGTACATATATGTACTCTCGCGCGCGCGCGCGGCGCGCCGGCTGTCCCGCGGCCCTGCTCGTATCGACCGTCTGAGGCATTCCACTCTTCATCGCTTTCAATGCTCAACACAATGCTCCTGCCGGCCGGCGGTCGGCCGGGCGCGCTGGCGCCGCGGACGGTCGTGTGGTTTGTATCACCTTTGCCGGCCGGCCGGCGCCCGGAGCCGCGGCCCGGTGCCGCTCGTTTCCCAGTGGAATACTCAGCCGTGCCGCGGCGGCGCGGCGCCTCAGCGTTTGGGTATTTTACGCGTCGTATTGACTGACCTTGTTGGGTGTGATGGATGTGATATGCCGCTGACTGTGTCCGCGCCTCGTGTTACCTGTCTGATGAACCAATGTACTGTTGAGATGGACCGACTGCGTTTTGGCGAGCGGTGGAATGTCTGAATGGATTTGGCTCGAACTGATAATCGGTGGGGGCATGGCTTCCAGTAAACACACAGTTAACAAGTGGTTGTGAGCTACAACTCATTTATTGCAGTTCCAGGGGCGCTGAACTTCAGCTCAGTTGAACACTAGACACTAAACGCTTAACAGCCGCCTGCCTAACGAGCAAAAGCGGCTGAAGTGATTTTGTGAGGGTTTCCACATGATTTCTCGCATCGAGCACTACAATTACACAACCCAGAGCCAGCTGCTACCAGAAGCTGCCCCCGCGCCCACTACTGTGCTGAAAGACCTGCCGCCACACCACCACTCCTACGGTCCCCTCATTTCTTCCCGTTTCCCGGCGCACCGTAGCCCGTGTGCACGCCGTTGCCGTTGAACCCGTTACCGTTGCCGTTACCGTTGATGAACCCTCCGTTCCCGTTTCCGTTGATGAAGCCGCCGTTGCCGTTGCCGTTTCCTCCGAAGACGGTGGTCTGCGAGTTTCCGAAGCCGTTGCCGTTGATGACGGTGCCGCCGGCGCTGGACGAGACGCCGCGCACGCCGGAGGCCACCACGGTGCCGCCGGCGGCCTGCGGCGGCCCGCCGACCACGATACCCAGACTGGCGGCCAGCTGGCTGCCGTCGAACTCTTGGTCGGTGAACAGCTGTTCGTTGAGCACGTACAGCTGCTCGGCCGTGCCGCAGTCGAAGTTGTACCACCAGTCGCACACAAAGTACAGCTGGCTGAACAGCGTGCCGTTCGGACACAGGAACGAGTAGCGGATGTTGTTGCTGCACACGTGGAATGCCTGTGAAATAGGGGACGTGTTAGCGGATTATATCAGAGGCGGCTTTGGTCAAGGTCTGTCAGGCTCTTCGCAAGCTCTGTCGGGGTGTGGCTAGATGCCAAGCTAGAGGCTTAGTGACATCGCAGGTCGGAGCGCTGTTTGGTTTTTTAACAGCATGCCGGTTTTCTCGCGTATGGACACTTATAGGCCGATTGTGCCCAAGTTTGGCACACTACCTCAGACCGACTAGTAGAGTGCCGTGCACACTGCATAAGTCAGTTTGTTTGTTTTGTTGGGTTAGGCCCTTTCGGTCGACAAGACCATTGCAGAGCCGGAAGGATGATAGGAATTAGGGGGAGATATTGGTCTGGGCAGGCACCCTAGTGAGTCGCCGGGGCTGAGCCCGTCCAGAGGACAGGCCACCCAGCCCCAAGGCACTCACTGCACCCGGCTACGGGGTGCGCTCCCTCAGGAGCAGCGGTGCCGCTCCAAGGGACGCATGAGATAAAGCTGCCTGTCCAGCCCGGAGGGGGGTTGCGGCGTGGAGGAGAAGGATTTCAGTATCCTGACTGAGGATAGAAGCACGGAAAGGTGATAAGTCAGTTGGAAATACCACGTCCCATTAGCCGACGCGCAGGACTCTCGCTCGCCGTTTGTCACCCCAAAAAGGCGGCCTATAAGACGTGTTTATCGTCTTATAAGACGATAAACACGTCTTATAAGACGATAATGGTGTTTAATGGTGTTTATCGTCTTATAAGACGATAAACACCAGTATACTGGTGTATATCAATCTTTGATTATGATTAGCACCCCTGTACCTATGTCTTAGAATCACGCTTCCTCAGCCTTGGGTTCAGGTTAGTGTAAAATCCCACGATTTAAAAGATGAAAAGGACGAAAGTACCTAACTACTAGCTTATTTAGAAAACGGCACAATATTGTTTCGAATATATAGCATCGAAGCTCGCCGAATTTATAGTAGGTACCTACTCGCCGCTCTGTGGCGCTTGCAATTGTAAATACTTAAGACGAGACGTAGGCATCTTCCCACGGATGACATCACCTGAATGTAGTTACTTATTCTGCCAATAGATGGCGGTGAAGGTTTGCGCCTGTCATGATACTGTACCGCAAGGCGCGTCTTCATCACAGCGACAGAGTGGCCAACAGGTGGCGCGATCAGTTCATTGGACGCATTATACCATTGGACGCATTAAATAAAAAAGATGACGCAAGCATCGACAGATAACACCGATTACTGTGTCCATTCGGTTTACGCTTCAGCTAGCAATTAGCTAGCAGCTGACTGAGACAGATATACCTATCCGTCACTTGAAAGCCGAAATATCGACAGGCTCAGGCTATCATTCTTTCTTGATCCAGATTTGCTACTCCGCCCCGGTCCGGCCTTTACAAGCAGTGATGTCCCAATAAAACGGTATCAGCTGGTTCACTGACAGCGTCGGGTGCCTTTAGTTCTTCTCTCGGCCGTTCGAGCAGTGTCCGAACATCTGCCGGCCGGGCGGAGCATTTATACCCGTCTCTCCCAGCACGGTGATGGGTGCCAGAGAGAACGGCATCAGTTACGTCATATGACCGGGGTTGGAGGCGAGTGGAGCCGTCACGTGACCAACGACAGCTGCTAGCTGCAGGTTTGAAGGGTGCTGAATTATGATTGTGAGAAGGAAAGATACTCTGTTAGTATCGACCTACCGTTCATGATTGAGCGCAATCTGTTTTTTATGTCAATCTCCTTATGTAGTGAGGGCCTTGATATAGTGAAGCGAATGAGGTTTATGACGTTTATTTTTTTTCGGATTTCATCCAGACATTTACCGCGGCGCTATTGATGCGAGCCGAAGCGGGAGTTTAGCAATTTTCTAATGAACCACTTTCAGGAGATTGACACACACAATACCCAAAATAGTGTAAATGGGACAAAACAGTGGCATTCGCCCTATTCGCCAGTGTGGGTGGGTGGGGGGTGAGGGATAATTTTCCGATTGCGCGTTCCAGTGCCGTCCTGTAATCGGAGCGAGCTGCGATGGGTGACTGGCTATCGGCCGTGTCCGAGTGACGCGGCATTGCGCTGAGAACCGAACACGCTCAGATGGCTCGGAAAACTGCCGCCTCTATCGTATTGTGCCGGGTCAGCCGGAACAGGGCGTCCCTGTCAGCAGCGTGCCGGGCCGGCCGGAACGGTGAACACAGGCCCTGCGCCGGCGCGGTGACCGGAGCGTATGGTGGTCCTGTGTCCCGCGGCCGCTCCCCCCCCCCCCTCCATCCGTTCCCATCAGGTGTGGGGCTCCATTAGATATTTCACAACGTTGTATTGTATTGTATTGTATTTACATTTAAGAGCGATCCACATACAAAGTGCGTGGCGATTACCGCTCAATGGAAATACTGAAAATAGACGTCACGCCCGTATCACAGTTTTTGGAACGACAATCATTGCGTGATTGCTAATTTTTGGATTCAAGTAAACAATATCAGTTGTCATAAAATGCAGGCATGCCTGGCTCTTATAACATCTGGTATCGTTTACTCGAATCCAAAAATTAGCAATCACGGAATGATTATCTCATATAAAACAATGAAGTAAACTGTAAAGTGCATGGCACTGGAACAAGCACGGCCAACCCGCTCTCAATATCCCTCCGTCCGTCCGTCCGTCCGTCTGTCCGCCCGTCCGCCCGTCTGTCCGTCTGTCCGCCCGTTTGTCGGCCCGGTGCCCCGCGGTGTCCCGGACACCTGTCGCCGTGCCGTCTGTCTCTCCCTGGACTCGTTAGTCCACTCGCGTCATCCTCTGACGTAACGACACTGCCGCCGGCGTCACCCGGCGTCATCCACCGACAGATGGCCACCGACGCAGCCCCGTCGGCCGACGGTCCACGCGCCGACGCGCGAAATCGAAAGTGCCCCACGTGTGCGACACGCGTCACGTAACGGCGGGGTGACGTCACACGCTCGATTGGGGACGACGGGGGAGGGCTTGTGATCGGTGGGTGGGGCGCTCTGGAGCTGTCATTGGCAGAGATACCCATCCGGGCGGATCGGCCCGATTCGAAATTACAGGCAACTGTGCGTGGGAGTGGTAAACGGCCTTGGTAAAGGTACTCGCTGATACGATTGTTCCTTCAAATATTTTCTCGCCGTTTATATTGACGACGGTTATAACGGTTTGATAGCCGATCGACTCTGGCGTATGAGAGCTGATATGATCTACTAGAATTGATCCATTATAGGGTAGTCAATACAGCCAGACTCTTGAGTTATGTTTATATTAAAATATCGATAATATCTTTTAAAACTGACGCAGTTTGGGTGCTGGTGTAAAGGTTTAATTAAGTTTTCCGATACAAATATGGATTAAGGACGGTTAGGACACCTTCTCCTTGGCATGCAGTAGCATAATGAATATCTAAAAGTCTCGTCACCCCATCTGACTGACCTGACCAGTGGCGCAGCCAGGGGGGGGGGTCAGAGGGTCAGCTGACCCCCCCGAAATTTCTGTCAGGGGCCCGCTCGAGAGAAAGAGAGAGAGAGAGAGAGAGAGAGAGAGAGAGAGAGAGAGAGAGAGAGAGAGAGAGAGAGAGAGAGAGAGAGAGAGAGAGAGAGAGAGAGAGAGAGAGAGGGAGGGAGGAGAGAGGTCCTAATCTAACCGGACGAGAGAAGTGGCCCGGGCCCCCTGGGTGGATGGGGCCCGGGTCCCCTGGGTGGATGGGGCCCGGGCCCCCCGTGGATGGGTCCGGGCCCCCGGGAGAACGGGCCCCGGGCCCCGGGTGGACGGGGCCCGGACCCTCGGTTGGATGGGGCCCGGGCCCCCGGGAGAACTGGCTCGGGCCCCTGGGAGAACGGGCCCGGACCCCCTGGATGGATGGGCCCGGGCCCCCGTGGATGGGTCCGGGCCCCCGGGAGAACGGGCCCGGGCCTCCCGGAGAACGGGCCCGGGCCCCCGGGAGAACTGGCCCGGGCCCCTGGGAGAACGGGTCCGGGCCCCCTGTGTGAATGGGCCCGGGCCCCCCGTGGATGGGTCCGGGGCCCCGGGAGAACGGGCCCCGGGCCCCGGGTGGACGGGGTCCGGACCCCGGGTGGACGGGGCCCGGACCCCCGGTTGGATGGGCTCCGCGCCCCCGGGAGAACAGGCCCGGGCCCCTGGGAGAACGGGCCCGGGCCCCCCGTGGATGGGTCCGGGGCCCCGGGAGAACGGGCCCCTGGTGGACGGGGCCCGGAACCCCGGTTGGATGGGGCCCGGGCCCCCGTGAATGGGTCCGGGCCCCGGGAGAACGGGCCCGGGCCTCCCGGAGAACGGGCCTGGGCTACCGGGAGAACGGGCCCCGGGCCCCGGGTGGACGGGGTCCGGACCCCCGGGTGGCCCCCGGGAGAACGGGGCCCGGGCCCCCGGATTGATGGGACCCGGGTCGCCTGGTGGACGGGGCCCGGTGCCCCAGGTGAACGTGGCCCGGGCCCCCATGTGGATAGGGCCCGCGCCCCCGTGTGGATAGGGCCCGGGTCCCCGGTTGAATGGGGCCCGCTAGGGTGACCCGCTTGCTCCGCAACGCGAATAAGGGGTATTTTCGATCGGTGGGCGTTTGGTTGGTCTTGTGTCCGTGGGTTATGTATCCATTTCGGTCGATTGCTTTTTGACGGCTAGGCATTTTGGTTTGGGAAAAAAATATCCATCGCATCGAGGTGCTCGTGTCTGATAACAATGCGATCTACTATAGAACATGCCAAGTGTATTATAACATAGGTTGACGTAGGTTATTGAAAAATGAAAGCCATCGATGAGTTACTATGTAGAGGTTTGAAACATTTATATTTTTAAGAATACTGCTGCTCGTCATGCAAAAGCGATGGTTGGATTTTGGACAAAATTGAATGCTCTTTCCAACTATGCCATTTTTAACTGTCAAACGTACCAGGTTATGCAGTAAAACCCGTGTAATTAAGTCATTAACAAATATCATTTTCTCCAGCGATTTGTTCCACCTTGTTTTTGATCAATTAGCTTTTCACAATTTTTCCATGCGAGGCTGTGCATTTCTTTTGCCAACAGGCGTTGTTAGAACCCGCTCCGTCAAACAGTCACCCGAAAATAGCATAAAGTCCCAAATCTGTCCGAAACGTCAATTTTCCAGCATAATTGCCCTCACGGGTGCACGTGGCGCGTGCCATCCCTGCACCGCACACCATTCGATAGCCCGTTCGATTCTCTAGACGATACTGTGTTCCCCATCGGGCCCACGGTTACCGAGATACTGCACGGGGACCGGGCCAGTGTCGGGCAAATTTAGCCATTTTCGCACGATTTTGCAAGCCGATTCATACATGTATTGTAAAGTCTATGACGCGAATTTGCACTTTTTAATCACGCGCCATGTGCTCGCTATCGATCCGATCGAGCTGAGACCCTCAAAGGTACGTTGCCCATTCTTGATCTATAAATCGCGAAAATTTCAGCGCACTAGGCGCAACGGTCTGGCCTGTACCCCGCGCTAAGTAACACCATGCCGGGACCTCGATAGCAGACAGAATCTACGTCACCACATCACCACACCACAACAAACCCGGCCCAAGGCAATACATGTCCCATATGAGCGCGTTAACCCTCGCCGGCACAAGCCATTCCAGCCATTTTGCGTCCTTCGAGGGCACAACTGGGAGGGTGGTACGGTACGACCCCCCCCCCGCGTTTGGCCCATGATCGAGCTAGAGCTTCGCGGAAAAAAACGAACGTGTTGCCCGTGACGAGAGTAAGCCGTTGATACTCAATTTTAAGGTTCTTGGTCATTGGTTGACCTTCCAGGTCAGGTCAATGACCCAAAAATCGGGAAAATCGGGACCTGTTAGAACGTCGTGAAGTGTGGGTGCTATAGGGTTTTTCGGGGTGCTGATCACGAATAGTTATCATGTTAGTTTTGATCACAGATGATGTCTTTATGCTAAATGCAGGTCAGGTCGGGTCAGGTCAGGTCAGGTCAACCAGTAGGGGTCCTGCCGGGTATTTGTAGTACCTACGTGTCAGCCGCCTCTAGCAGCTTCGTAACATGTTACGAAGGCACCAAAACTACTTCGTGAATGTTCAAATGGTTGCTAAATTCGAATTCAGCTCCAAAAACTAGCCTAGACATATGTATAATTTGAAAAAGTACCGAGGTCATAGGTCAATGACTTGACCTGACCTTTAGGTGACCTTGACACCCACTCTAATGCATGGGAGCAGCATCAACTCACATGTTTGAACGCTTGAAACCACGAAAAGACTGCAAACGCGCGGCTAATGCGAGTCGGCATACGCCGAATCGCGATTCTGGCCAAACATGGTCTCGGAAATTAGATCACAGGTGAAAGGTCATTTGAGTCAGGGTCATGCAATTTCTAGGGTAGGTGTAAAACTGATCAACGCGAGGGTAGTGAAAGTGTTGTCGCGATCGGCCGTTTTTTACGCAAGTTATTCGTGAAAACCCTTAGGGGCAGGGATGCGGAGCCGGAGCCGGAGCCGGAGCCGCCGGAGCCGGCATATTTTGCCCGGAGCCGGAGCCGGAGCCGAAGCCGTGAAACAATATAGCCCGGAGCCGGAGCCGGAGCCGGAGCCGTCAAAAAGGGGGCGACTCCGGCTCCTTTTCTTAAGGAGGAAACAATTATTTACCTAGTTCGGTTTGACAGTACAAGGCGTAAAACAATGTGGTATTCAAAATAGCCCTGTTATACAAATACAGAAGCAACGTGTACCAATCCCATCGCCTTTTTTCTTCCACCCGTATTTATTTGATCGCATAGGGGATGTACTGAGTAGAAGCCGGAGCCGGAGCCGCCGAAGCCGGATCATTTTACTCGGAGCCGGAGCCGGAGCCGGAGCCGCCATGACATTTCACCCGGAGCCGGAGCCGATTTTTTTTTTCTCCGGAGCCGGAGCCGGAGCCGGAGCCGTCTGAAATTTCCACGGCTCCGCATCCCTGCTTAGGGGGTTGCATCATCCCCTCCCCTCTGTGCCGGCGAGGTTTAAAACTTCTTGTGATCGAATTTACGTAATGAAGAAGGATAAACGCACAATCTTCTACAGCAGCCAATAGATGACTTAGGACAGGCATATGGAACTACTTAAATCTTGTCCGATAGAAGCAGGCTACAGCTCCGTTTGCATATATGCTATGCATATTGCGGAAGGGGCACATTTCGGCCTCGAAAGATACGAATTCTTACCTCATAGTAACATATTTCTGTCATGGTCAATTCGCGTAGAAATTGAACACCGGGTGATTACCGAGCTATTGTTCTATCAAAATTTTCCGATTCAAACTCGCTCAGGGTTATCGTGTAGGTAAAGGGGGCCCGCTCAGCAGAATGCGTATGAAATATGGAAAGATTCTGAAAAATGGGTGGGGGCCCGCACACTAGGGGGCCCGCTTTGGAGGCGATGACCCCCCCCCCCCCGAAACGAAATCCTGGCTGCGCCACTGGACCTGACACTGGCCTTCACGTCTGACTGACCAGTGACCTGACACTGACCTGACACTGACCTGACACTGACCTCCCATATCTAACTGACCTGACACTGGGCGGCCGGGTCCGAGTAGTATCCGCCGTTGATCCTGCCGTCGCAGCTGAAGCCGGTGTCGGGCACCTCGGCGAAGATCGGGTAGTCCTGTCCGGGGACGCCCTGGACGGCGTCCTCTAGCCGCTCGGCGCCGGCCACCGACAGGGCGGCCAGAAGCACTGCCGGTCAACAGAGCAGAGAGGTCACAGAGGGGCAGCAGGGACCTAACTGAGGGCGGCCAGAAGCACTGCCGACCAACAGAGCAGGTCAGAGAGGGGCAGCAGGGACCTAACAGGGCGGCCAGCAGCACTGCCGGCCGACGGGGCAGGTCAGAGAGGGGCAGCAGAGACCTAACAGGGGGACCAGCAGCACTGCCGGTCGACGGGGCAGGTCAGAGAGGGGCAGCAGGGACCTAACAGGGCGGCCAGAAGCACTGGCGGCCGACGGGGCAGGTCAGAGAGGGGCAGCAGGGACCTAACAGGGCGGCCAGCAGCACTGCCGGCCGACGGGGCAGGTCAGAGAGGGGCAGCAGAGACCTAACAGGGGGACCAGAAGCACTGCCGGTCGACGGGGCAGGTCAGAGAGGGGCAGCAGGGACCTAACAGGGCGGCCAGCAGCACTGCCGACCGACGGGGCAGAGAGGTCACAGAGGGGCAGCAGGGACCTAACAGGGCGGCCAGAACAAGAAGCACTGCCGGCCGACGGGGCAGGTCACAGAGGGGCAGCAGGGACCTAACAGGGCGGCCAGAAGCACTGCCGGTCGACGGGGCAGGTCAGAGAGGGGCAGCAGGGACCTAACAGGGCGGCCAGAAGCACTGCCGGCCAACGCGTTGGCCGGCAGTGCTTCTGGCCGCCCTGTTACGGGGCAGGTCGGAGGCAGGTCGGAGAGGGGCAGCAGGGACGGGCGGCCAGAATCACTGCCGGTCAACGGGGCAGGTCAGAGAGGGGCAGCAGGGCGGCCTGAATCACTGCCGGTCATCAGTACAGCTCAGAGGGGGTCTGACACTAGCTGTACTAGCCGTTTTCACGACGGCCATCTGGTACACATTTGGTGCACATTTGGTGCAGATTAGGTGCAGATTTGGTCAAATTAGTTTCAGTGTGTCTCTTAGTAGCTGTCAGCTAGGGCTGCACTAATTGCTTATACCTATCCCTGCTTTGTCATATTATCAGAGAGTATTATCGATTAAAACACTGAAATAAATTCATAAAATCAGGATATTTGCTGTAAAAGAGATTAGGTGCAGATTTGGTCAAATTAGGAGCACTCGCCGGATAGCCCGTTGTGAAAACGGCTACTGCCGAGTGCCGAGTGCCGACCAACAGAGTAGCTCCGAGTGGGTCGGACAGTAGCTCAGAGCGGGTCGGGCAGAGCGACCAGCACCACTGGCGATGAACCGGGCGGGTGTGATTACCTATAGGGGTCTAACAGGGCGGCCGGAGCCATATTCAGTGGCCAACGGAGCAGGTCAGAGTGGGCACTTGCGCGGTGGGCTCAGGTCGGAACATCTCTTCCGATTCAGTGTGTCATGGCTACAGTAGGTATATGCGTTTTCTGCGTGCGTGTTTTTGCGAGTTTGCGTGTTTTGCGTAATATCGTTATAGAAAAATGTTATTATTAATTTAACTTCTTTAATATTTATATTAAAGTTAATAAAACGTTTATGTTAATTAAAAGTTTAGGTATATGAAAAACATCTAACAAAAACGTAATGTCGTTTCTTTCTAGAACGATATTCCGCAGATCACGCAAACTCGCAAAAAACGCACGCAGAAAACGCATAGTGTAGCCAGGCCTTTACGTGCAAACCGATGTTTGAGAGCGTTTTGAACGACATTCGTCCAAAAAAGGTGCATTTCAATTTTCTCCCATCGATTTTTAATGGATAGTCGCAAAATTCACCTGACCTTAGCTCACATAAAAAATCCGAGATATACATTTTATACATTCTGTTACTCATATCAATCGCTGAAAGTTTGAAAGTGATCGTTCAGTCGGTGTGGCTAAAGCGAGCCTTTGAACTTTTTCTGAGTAACGCCACTTGACGTGACCTGGTGAGTGTGGTGACCTGACCTTGAATGAATCGGTTCTGAGCATGTGCGGAAATGATATATGAACAGGTGTGCGGCGCTGCGCGCCGCCGTTTTTAAGCTATTTGCGAAAAACCTGAGGGGGGCGTGCCGTAAGAGCGCCCCCCAGCACGGCGCGAGTTAAATGTCTTTTCTGCATCAATAACTGTTTCGTTTTGCTAAACGATAGGTAGGAGTTACATACAACCAGTTTTTAACAGTTCTTTAGCACTTTGCAGCATGGGCGGCGGAACGGGGAGGGCACCGGGGCATCGTGCCCCCTTTGATTTGGGCATTTTAACATTAGCCCTATGGGCGTTGCATGGAAAGAATGGGACCGAAAGTTGGAAGTGCCCCCCCCCCCCCCCTTAATTGAAGGTGTTCCGCCGCTACTGCTTTGCAGCGATTCAGTTTTTGTAATGGAACTCTTCGGATCCAGCACATCGAGGCGTATTTTGATGTGCAGCTAAAATAGTGATGTTAAACGATTCACCATGTTCGAAGGCTGTTTTAACTAAAAAAGTAAAAAGTAAGCTTTTAACTCGCGCCCCTTTGGGGGGTCGAAACGGCCCCCCTCTCCTTTCAGTCGGTATCTCCCAAAGTATAGCAGATATCGCCACAAAAATTTCAGGGCCCCTCCAGGCAAAAATTATACACCTTGTGACTAAAATATTTTCCAAAGCCTGTAATACGTTGACCGCAAATGACGTCAGAATTAACCCGCGCACCGACGGGGGGGGGGGGGCGGATATCCGCCCCCCCTGAGGTTTTTCGCGAATAGCGGGAATACGCGCCGCGAAATTTGGTATGACTATTCCTTCATCAATTTTACACATGGTGTGCAAGTTTGAACCTCCTACCTTTTAAGGTCAGGTCACCAGGTCACTTTGAATGACCCAACTTCAAGTCACTTTTTTGCAACTTTGTCACCGTGCCAGGGCTACAGTAAATGTCGGAGGCCTTTGAAAGTTGCAGGATGTCATTAGGTCATTAGTAGCTACAATTTGTATATCTCGGAATTTTGATATCGGTGACCTAAGGTCAGGTCAATTTCGCGACCTCCCCATTATAAGTCAATGGGGGAAAAATCAACTCCCTGTTTTTACCACTAAAACGGGTTGGAATGGCCCCATATACCATACATGACTTCATATACGATCAACCTTCACTACCTTGAGGTCTTTTTTGCTGTTGGGCAGCTGTGAGGTCATGTGACGTCATCAAAGGTCACCAAAGGTTTTTGGCCAATAACTCCGTACAGGAACAAGATACAGCCGCGTGGAAGGTCTCATTGTGTTCAGCTCGTCAAGACGCATCGAATGATATACATGATGACCTCGAGGTCACGTGACCTGAGGTCAACCTTTGACCTTGACCTTTCGAGGTCAACATATATATCATTCGATGCGGATTGACGAGAGGATCACGATGATGCCCTTAGTTTGTTCCTATCTTGACTAATTCGAAAGTTATTCGAGAAAAACTCTCCATATCTAGCGCCGCCATTTTGACTTTTTCGACCCCTGTGACGTCATCTTTGACCTGACCTGAAAATGACCTTAGTAAAAATTGTAGATCTTGACCGTGCGTATCCGATGCCGTTTACCGCTTGTCGCTATCTTGCTTCGTTCTCGAGATCTCAAGGGGGCGGTCATCCGCCCCCCCCCCCCGTCGGTGCGAAGTTGGCGCAGACCCCCGTCGATGCATGTTTTGCCAATTTTGACCCTAAAAAGGTTTCGTGGGAAGAGCTGTCACGCCTTTAGTTTAGGAGATAGAGAAAAATGTTAAGCATAAAAAGGTGAAGAATTAACAGGGCTACAAAACTGCTATCTCGGAAATTTTAAATTTTCACCCTAAAATTTTAAAAAGTGATTTTTAGACATAACACCAAAAAATACCAAAAATTTTCAACATTTTGAAAAAACGAACATATGTTATAGAACTATTGCTTTGCTATTCACATGCCTAATTTCAGCTCGATAGCTTCATTTTTGGCAAAGCTATGGCGAAAAAACTGATCAAAATTTATGACGTAAAATTTTTCCAGACGCAACTTTTAACCGTTATAGACCACGCAGAGTAAAACGAAGACCAACATTAGAGTCCCCGTGATGAGCTGCATCGTATGGACATCCTTTTTATGCAAAAATATTAACTTCAAAATTTGACTTATTTTGACCTGACTTTGACCTGACCTCCACCAGAACGGGACCTAAACCGGCCCTAAGGGTCGTGTAACCCACATCATTGAATTGGAAATGTAAAATTGGTCATAAAACATGCATCACACGACCCTAGTGTAGTTGGCTCCATGTTGTGACCCTTTGTGACTGACCTCTGTGACCTGACCTGGCATAAGTGACCACCTAAGCAGCATATATGCATTAGGCGACCAACGTTGCACCGATGATTTTCGATAACATACCTATTATTAAATGTTATGTTATCGCATTCTATACGCATTCTCTAGCCTACGCATTCTCTAGAAGGCCCGTTATCGGTGAAAAATGCGACCTTTGACCTGACCTGTGACGTCATTGGCTCCACCTAAGTCAACAAAACTTGGTCGTTAGATAGTTCGTTGGTGACGCCATCGAACGTCGTTTGAATTTTCAAAATCGGTCGGTAACTTTCCGAGATCTGAGGAGGGGCCGAACCCCCCCCCCCCCCCAACGGATGCGTAAGGCTCACCAATAGCCCAACGGGTCGCAGGTTAACACTACCTAATGTATAAAACATTTTTGATTAATCTCTAAAAACCATTAAAAAATGCCAAACTGTAGCAAAACATAATACATTTTTGGTATTTTTATTCTATACAGTTGGCGCTTGTCAACCGCGCTATGAGAACTACAACTGGATGTCGATATCCTACATAAACGTAAAAATAGAAACTATGAAGCCTTCAATCTTCGAATGACTGTCATAATTGTTGTCGAATTTTTGACATAGTTATAATTCCTTATGAGGTAGTCCAAGTAGCCATTGTGTTTTCTTGTTCCACTTGTATTTTGGAGTGACGTTACCCCTCCTTTTCCATACATAGCACACAACTAAGCACACGCATTCCCACATGAAGCATCCTTACCGAGTGCAATCTGAGTGAAGTCCGGCATGCTGCAGCGTCTGACGGCGGCCAGAGTCGAGGGCGCCTGGTGTCGAGCTGTAGGTGTCCGGTGTCGCACACGGCGGGTGTCGAGTGTCGCACACTGTCGCCGCCGAGCTGGCCGGTCGCGGGGGTTTACCGAGAGGGACTGCGCGTCGCCCGGGAACAGCACGAGTGAGCGTCGATGCCGACTGAACGGCGGGGAGGGAGCCGCCGCTTTATAGCAGCCCGTCACCGACCGGCAGATCGCCCTGAACCTGAACTTGATCATACTCCGGCGTAATGGGTTTTCCGCCCCAATTTTGAACACTTGCGTGAAGGCCGAACAATACTTACATCGGAGCTTAATTTAACCCTATTCCTGGCGGGCTCCGCCGGGACAAGAAACTGGCGGGGGGGGGGGGGGCCGATTCGGCCCCCCCTTCAGATCTCAAAAACTACACATCGCAGCGACAAACGGTAAACGGCATCGGATACGCACGGTCAAGATCTACAATTTTTACTAAGGTCATTTTCAGGTCAGGTCAAAGATGACGTCACAGGGGTCGAAAAAGTCAAAATGGCGGCGCTAGATATGGAGAGAGTTTTTCTCGAATAACTTTCGAATTTGTCAAGATAGGAACAAACTAAGGGCATCATCGTGATCCTCTCGTCAATCCGCATCGAATGATATATATATAATATATATATATATATATATATATGTTGACCTCGAAAGGTCAAGGTCAAAGGTTGACCTCAGGTCACGTGACCTCGAGGTCATCATGTATATCATTCGATGCGTCTTGACGAGCTGAACATAATGAGACCATCCACGCGTCTGTATCTTGTTCCTGTACGGAGTTATTGGCCAAAAACCTTTGGTGACCTTTGATGACGTCACATGACCTCACAGCTGCCCAACAGCAAAACAGACCTCAAGGTAGTGAAGTTTGATCGCATATGAAGTCATGTATGGTATATGGGGCCATTCCGACCCGTTTTAGTGGTAAAAACAGGGAGTTGATTTTTCCCCCATTGACTTATAATGGGGAGGTCGCGAAACTGACCTGACCTTAGGTCACCGATATCAAAATTCCGAGATATACAAATTGCACATAGGCCCCAGGTGACCCCCAGTGACCTGACCTCTGTGACCTGACCTGGTATCAGTGACCTCAGATAGCGAAGTATGTGTTTGACGAACAATGTATTATCGATCGTTTTCAATAACTTACCAATTTACTCGATTTCACAACACATTTCTTGAAATGCCTGTGAACGGTGAAAATCCGACCTTTGACCTGACCTGTGACGTCATCGGTTTAACCTAGGTCAAAGAAATTTGGTCACAAGGTAGTTCCCCGGTGGGGCTATCGAACGCCGTTTGAATTTTGAAAATCGGCCGGTAAATTTCCGAGATCTTAGGGGGGGCCGAAACGCCCCCCCCTACGGGTGGTAGGATCCGCCGATAGCCCTACGGGGCGCGGGTTAACCCTATTCCTGGCGGGGGGGGCCTCAGGAGCCCCCCCCCTGAGGTTTTTTTTGTTATTTCTCCCAAACGCGTTGAGCTAGGAAGCTCAAATTTTCTGACTTTTCCTAAAAGGCTTCTACGCAACATGTCTGAAAATTTTGAGTTGATCTGACCTCAGGTCAGGTCACCAGAGGCGGTTTGGTGACCCTACCTAAGAAAAGTTTGCAATCACGCCAGAGCTAGAGTTTTTGACCGATCAATTTCTTCTCTTCAGGCTTTAGTTAGGGTAGGGTAGACCGGGGCAAGTCGCCCCGGCGAGGTAAAACGCCTCACCGATGTTTCTCGGAACTGGCAAGGTTCTGGGGAAACATCATATCCTCTATAAAACGTGTACTATATGATCATTATATGAGCAAACTGGAAAGAAATTGTGATAACTCTTTAGGGAGATATAGCCAAAAATTTGTTTTTGGAGTGATTTTTATGTTTTGCAGTCAGATTATGCATCATAGCGTTCTTTTATTGTCCACATCAGGTTAACGACTTTTATGTATTTTGAACAACTAGTGTCTAACGCTTATAATAATGGGTTGGTCCGTTTTAAATTATCTCTTGCTGGAGTGCAAGGCGTTGTTCTCTGACCGAACTACGTGATGGGGTAAAACGCCCCAGTAGGTCGCGGGGCAAAAAGCCCCATGGGGCGTTTTACCTCATGTGTTGTTCCGAATACCCACTTCCTAATGTTCGGTAACTGGCGAACAGTAAGTTTCTATGCAATTTTATGTGCTTTTCTCGGCAAATTAATGGCAAAGGAAGTATTTTGTTAACATTTGCATTGCAATAATTTATTATTTGGCCTTATGAGCCAGGTGAAAAACCTGCTCATACAATAGTGTCATAGCTGAACACCTGACAGGATGGAATGTGCTAACTTCCTAGAGCCGTGCCTCCCAAGGTCTAACATATAAGGTCTCATATAAGATTTAGTCAACTAGCATGTTTAATCTTTAATCTAGAGTATGGGGCTTCTTGCCCCAGGCCGTGGGGCGTTTTGCCCTGGGGTTGGGGCAAAATGCCCCATTTTCAGTTGCTTCACAAATCACTTCCTAGCTGGGAGTTCGATCATAAGTGAATGAATTTGACGGGTGGAATTTAAAGTAAAATGTCCAAAGAACGCATTGAGCACAAATTTGGCCTTCCAGGTGATGTGGGGCAAAAGTTATGTAGCAAAATAAATTATCTGGGGCGTCTTGCCCCAGGCTACCCTACCAGTATGTTGGGGGTCACAATATGAAAGTGTCGTGTGATACATGTTTTATGGTTCATTTTACATGACAAATGCGATTATGTGGGTCAGGCAGCCTTTGTGGCCAGCTTAGGTCACGTTTTGGTGAAGGTCAGTTCGAGGTCAGGTCAAATTAGGTCAAGTTTCAAAATTGATATTGTTGCATAAAATGGGTATCGATTCGATGTGGCTCGTCACGGGGAGTCTAATGGTGGTCTTTGTTTTGCTCTACGTGGTCTAGAATTGCCAAAAATTGAGTTTAAAAATTTGACGTCATCATTTTTGAACAGTTTTTTTTTTTCGCTATAACTTGGCCAAAAAACAAGATATTGATCTGAAATTTGGTATGTAGATGGAAGTCGGTAGGTACCTACTATACTCTGTTCCGTTTCAACTTGGCAGTCGAAGTGCCCTGCTGAAAGCCGTGCGCGATTTCTGTATATACAGCTCTTACATTTTAAGACGCAAATTCTTGAGCGCAGGAGCGATCTGCCATATGGCCTTGGATCTGCCGAAGAAACTCCAGCTGCAAGCTTGATATGGAACAAACTATAACCACTGAACTCTAATATATACTGGAAGGAGCATTGGTGACTTGTTTTTGTCTATCGATTTCCGCCATGTTGTGTATACCAGAAATATAAATTGCATGTACGGTAGCAGAGGTGCAGTTAGTGAGAGGTACACTACTCAAAAGTGCTGCTGCTTCATGCTTGCAGTTTGATTGCAGTGATCAACTTTTCAAGACTTTGGTATACACAATATGGCGGAAATCGTTAGACATTCTGGCCCATATACGGCCAAGGCGAGTGTCTCCCCCTGACTATAACACATATATTCCTTTTTTTCGAAACTAAAAAAACGTTTTGGATTTTTTTGGCAAATTTATCTAAAAAATTGCTTTTTTGATTTTTGGGGGTCAAAACTCCAAAATTTTAAAAATCCGAGATAATAGTTTTGTAGCCCTGTCAATTCTACACCTTTTTTGTATTGTTCATTTTTCTGTATCTTCAAAGCTGTAGGCCTGACAGCTATTCTCGCGAAGGTCTTTTTTCGGTCGAAAATGGCAAAACATGACGTCATTCTGACGTCATTTGTGGCCAACCTATCATAGCCTCTGGAAAATGTTTTGGTAACAATGTGTAAAATTGATGCCCGGAGGGGTCCTCAAAGTTTGGTGGCGATATCTCTAGCCGCTTAGGAGATATCGACGGAAAAGGACGGGGGGGGCCGTTTCGGCCCCCTCCCTACGGGGCGCGGGTTTTAACACGCGACCCGTGGGGGGAGGGGGCAAAAGGCCCCCTGTGTTTTTGGAGATTACTCAAAAGCAGCCGCGACTTTGACTCGCCCATTTCAGCAGGTGCCTACCCCTCCGGACATAAAGTTCGCGCATCTCCTGAAAAATGCGTCCTATGTCATCTCAGGTCATGAGTCAAGTTAAGAGCATGTTCGTCCATTTTCGGTCGAAGAAGTCTTTCGTGGAAAAAATCGCAGAAAAACAAGTTATAAATCTACATAGCCTCCAAAACTGAACCATGGGTAAAAAAAGAAAATTGCAATCCAGCATGCCGTTCCCTACGATTTAAGCATGTGCCATGTTATTGCTTGAGGGCGCTGATCCCTCTTGTGACGTTACAGGTGATCATGATTATTCATGGGTCAGGTCTATGATATTTATCATTTATTTCTTTCAAGTTTCAGGGTCATATTAGAAATCTAGATTTGACTTTGTATGGCAGACTGCTCGTCATTGGACAGATTTGACCTTGTCAGACCTTTCTGTGACGTCACAGGTGAAAAGTTCAGACTGTATAATGTGCATTCTGGTAAGATCTTTCGGATACCATTTTAATTTTTCGGATCCGACCATTATTTGTTCCGGAGATACGACGGAGGCCCTGTGCTCCCCCCCCCAAGAGGAACTGTAACCTGCCGGAACTAAACTAAGTTTAGGTAAGTCCTATAGGTTAGGTCACTGGAAATGATCTGGTGACCTACCTTAACCCTATTCCTGGCGGGGGGCCTCAGGAGCCCCCCCCCTGAGGTTTTTTGGTTATTTCTCCCAAACGCGTTGAGCTAGGAAGCTCAAATTTTCTGACTTTTCCTAAAAGGCTTCTACGCAACATGTCTGAAAATTTTGAGTTGATCTGACCTCAGGTCAGGTCACCAGAGGCGGTTTGGTGACCCTACCTCAGAAAAGTTTGCAATCATGCCAGAGCTAGAGTTTTTGACCGATCAATTTCTTCTCTTCAGGCTTTAGTTAGGGTACCAGTATGTGCAAGTTGTATCTCTCGGAATTTTGATATCGGTGACCTAAGGTCAGGTCAGTTTCGCGACCTCCCCATTATAAGTCAATGGGGGAAAAATCAACTCCCTGTTTTTACCACTAAAACGGGTCGGAATGGCCCCAAATACCATACATGACTTCATATACGATCAACCTTCACTACCTTGAGGTCTGTTTTGCTGTTGGGAAGCTGTGAGGTCATGTGACGTCATCAAAGGTCACCAAAGGTTTTTGGCCAATAACTCCGTACAGGAACAAGATACAGACGCATGGATGGTCTCATTGTGTTCAGCTCGTCAA